GTACTTGCTCACTGCCAGAAAAAAGGTCATGTGGGGTCTCACTGGGAGAGGGGAGAGAGATTCAAAAGGAATGTTGGGAAAGATGACTCAATTGGTCATTGAACCACCTAACGATGCACAACCTCCAAATCCCCAACCTCGAAGGGGACTTGAAAGATAAGTCCCCACTCATGAGCTTACCACACCGCAGTAAGTGGGTGGGGACAACGTGCAGAAGAAGGATTGACGGCACCAGGGTATCTTGGGATTCTTGGATCCAACTGCAACCCCCACCCTTGGACTCAGTGAAGGTAACCCTTGCCACTACAACGCTGCACAATGAAATCCGATCGTGTGAATTAAGTTCGCACCCTGCGCCAGTTCATTTCCCAGTGTTTGCAGGTGTGTGTGTTGTATCCGACCAAGTAGTGAGGCAATGCCACGCAAGGTCTGCTCATTGAGCAGCACTGTAGTATGTGATGCTAGACTGGCAGAATAGATCTGATATAGGCTTCATCCTCTACACCAATGATGGCGAGGACCACCTCCCAGGCTTCATCCTCTACACCAATGATGGCGAGGACCACCTCCCACCAGGTATGGAGCTAGCCGCCTACGCTGACGACACCACTCTCTTCCACTGCCTCACATCAAGAGCTGACATTGACTGTGGCTCCGAGCTCCTCCAGCAGGGCATTGATGCGTTTTCCCGTTGGGGACATAAGTGGAGGATCAAATTTGAGCCCTCCAAGACGCAGGCTATGTCTATAGGCCACCATCGCCAGCCCTGGGAGCTCCCTCGAGCAACATTTGACGGCACACCGGTCAGTGAAGAGAGTCGGCTGAAACTCCTGGGAGTCACCTTTGACGACACCCTGAGCTACTCCTTCCACCTCCGCTCCCTAGCTTCCCGTGCTAACCAGCGGATTGGCTTCCTGAAGCGAGCGTCTCCCATTCTGGACGCCGAGAGCCGCCAACGCGTCTACAACGGCTTTGTGCGACCCACACTCGAGTATTGCCCCTTAGTGTGGATGGGCTCACCCTCGTCCCATCTTAAGAAGCTGGACCAGATCCAGCGAAGGGCCCTCCACATCATCGGAGCAGGTACTTGGCTCCCTAGCCTGGCACTCCGTCGCCTGGTAGCTGCACTTGCCTATACCTACAAGCTCTGCTATCTAGATGCATCCAGCCCTCTGAAGCAGATGCTGCCTAAACCAGCCACTCACCGTGCCCCCGAGACAAGACCTACCCGTCAGTCTCTCCAGCTGCAGGATTCTCATCCATACCAGATGACAACTGGCCTGCCTGCCAACACCCGGAATAGCTGTCTCCAAGGATTCCCTGCGTGCACTGTTGCAACATGGAATGCCCTGCCACCAGACCTGTTCCACCACCCAACCGCCCAGCCTCACATGCAAAGCTTTAAGAAAAAGGTGTACCGTCACCTTCTTGCTCAGGACTGGCTCTCTGCTACTGATGCACTTTGAATCTGCTCGCCAACGCTTTCCCTGTTCTTATTAGTGTTCAGCTGCTTACCTTATAACCCTGCTGCCATCATCACCAATATTCTGATTCTAATGCACATATCCCAGAACCTGCTATCCTTCGCAGTCCCCATCACCAAGAGCACTGTGCTCTTCTATCTCCCAGCTCTCTCTCTCTCTCTCTCTCTCTCTCTCTCTCTCTCTCTCTCTCTCTCTCTCGCCCTCGCTCTCTCTCTCTCTCGCTCTCTCTCTCTGTCTTCCTCTCTCTCTCTGTCTCCCTCTCTCTCTCTCTCGCTCTCTCTCGCTCTCTCTCTCTCGCTCTCTCTCTCTCTCGCTCTCGCTCTCTCTCTCTCTCTCTCCCTCTCTCTCTCTCTCTCTCTCTCTCTCTCTCTCTCTCTCTCTCTCTCTCTCCCTCTCTCTCTCTTTCTTCTCTTTCTTCTCTTCTTCTTCCCCCCCCCCCCCATCTCCCGATAATTATTAGCCCCCGTTTTCTTTCGACGCGTTTGCTGTGCAGTGAAGCCGAGACCCTAGGTCGGTGGAGCACATCAGACCCCGTCACCACGTCCACGATTCATGCCTGCGATGCTGCACCGCTGCTTTGCATGTCATGATTCGAAGCTGTGGCCTTAGTAAAAAAAAAAAAAAAAAAAAGGCTTCACACTAGAACCACAGATTGTACAAGCCACGCATGCAAGCCATGTACAAGCCATGCATGCATAGTACACACACCAGCAAGCAATATATAACAGACAATATAACACAACCTGGGAATCAAAGAGGTGCATGATCAGAGATTTATTTAGACCAGCTGAAGAAATACCATAGATATCAAGTTAAAACACAAAGCTGAAACCTGCAAACAACCTGAGTTCAGTGCCAATAGCTCCATCTACTCCGGCAATACGTCACGGTAACACACAAGGTACATTGACAGGGGAAACTGACCTCGTTCACCAAGCGGTGCAGGAATGCTGCTTTCTTCCCTTGCGGATCTGTAGTGAGACCCTCACTGAAGAAGATGAGACCATGCGGAAAGTTGTGCTGGGCTAACCAAGATACAACACGTTTCTTCTGCATGGACGGTCTAGCAGTCACGTAGACTATCAGATAGTTCAGCTCTTGCCAGAAACGAACCACATCCACCGAACTAGCATGCACCTGCAGGGTGTTATGAGTGTGTGTGTGTGTGTGTGTGTGTGTGTGTGTGTGTGTGTGTGTGTGTGTGTGTGTGTGTGTGCGTGCGTGTGTGCATGTGCGCGCATGCGTGTGTGTGTCAGGGAGGAGACAGAGAGAGAGAAAGAAAGGAAGAACAAAAGAGAGTGTGTGTGTGTGTGTGTGTGTGTGAGAGAGAGAGAGAGAGAGAGAGAGAGAGAGAGAGAGAGAGAGAGAGAGAGAGAAAGAGAGAGAGAGAGAGAGAGAGAGAGAGAGAGAGAGAGAGAGAGAGAGAGAGAGAGAGAGAGAGAGAGAGAGAGAGAGAGAGAGAGAGAGAGAGAGAGAGAGAGAGAGAGAGAACACACATGAACACACACACACACATGCGCGCACAAAGCTGCACAAAAGAATGTTGTCATAGACTCTATCCCAGTCAGCTGACAAAGATGCAGACCCAGAGAACTGCCATATAATGGAGACACCCGCAACACGGCCAAGCAGTGTTCTGAGTACTAATTAGAATACTGCAACAAGCCCATTGTGCATTGCCAAATATGGAAGGTATGAGTAATGCATGTGAGTACGCTGGGATCAGCAATGCACTGTTCAACACCCCAGACGACCATGCCCATGTGGCTGTACTAGCTGTGTGGGGTTTTTATGGTACAAATTACGTCATTGTGCAATGGGCTTACCGTATTATCTCCATTACAAGCACACTAGCGACACACGCTGCATACGTATCACCCATTAGAACATGCGCCGCCGTCATGAATGCATTCGGATAACCTATATTATAGGTACAGTTGTGGCCAAAGAAATCCAGTCCACGTGCCGAAAGCAGCGACAAGGCTCCTGCGGCCCCTGCGGCCCTCGGATCAGTTCTGGGAGCATGCATGATGTACTTGATGTGGCAAAGCGGCGCTACTTTCGACTCGTGGGTTGGATTTCTCTGGCCACGACTTTAGATTGACACAGTGTGTGTTCAGTAAGCACTTACCCGCGGATCTGTGCCCATAATGGAGAGGCTAGCTGCAAATGAGCCATCCACAGAGAACACAACAGCCTCCGTGGACGGTGGCAGAACGGCAAGATGACACTCGGCCTGGGTGTGATCTCCTCGCACCACCATCCTCAGTGGATAGATGTCCGGCCCCAGGTCTGGGTCAGAGGGCAGGTTGAATGTTACCTTTCCGCTCTTGTCCGTGAGCTCTGTGTGCAGTAGGACCCACTTGCCACGCGGTGGATCATGCTGCATGTACAGGTCAACCTGAAAACCAGAAAACACACACGCACATGCACATAGACACACAGACACACACAGACAAACACACACGCACACACGTACACACATACCGCCGTCACCGCCACCATCACACACACACACACACACACACACACACACGTGCCGCAACCGCCGCCGCCACCATCACACGCACGTACACACGCACAGCATGAGCATACATCAATATGCTAGGCATTGATGGCAGACATTTGGAGACTTAACTCGCGTGTTACGTGTCTCTCTACCAGTGTTAACAAGTTAGTGAGTGCTTGGTCAGCAGCTTAGAATAGTACAAAGGGTACATTGGAAACTACAGTAGAACCTGTCAAGGCGACCACTCGGATAAGGCGACCATCTGTCTTAGAAGACCACTGAAACCAGGACCGAGGGATGCTATTTCCAGTCAAACGGCCCTGGATAAGGAGACCACCTGGTAACAAAGACCAGATTTTGAAGGTCCCTTGAGCGGTCGTCTTAGACAGGTTTCACTGTGCAGACAAACCCGTGAACAACGACCCTGCGTATAACAATAACTCGCGAGTAACGACACAATCTCCAGACCTAGTGACCATCAGACTGCATGCTCAGTTCATGCTCAGTTCCACCTCATGAATAACAACTTGCGAATAACGGCACTTTTCCCCCGTCCTACATTTACGGTTGTTATTCAAGCAAGTTTGACTGGACTCACCTTTCTTCTCACCTTCTCACCTTCCTTATCACAATATTCACATCTATCTGATATATAAGCGCTGAGCAGGATCCTGCTCATCCTCTTTCTTCAAATATCAACTTCGACCTGTTACATTGGTAGCCGACAGGATGGTTGATCTCATCATAGTCGCAGCTGCGTTCGCTCTGCTACTCCTGGTCGTGGCTCTACTCCTCGCTCTGCAAGTAACAGTCCTCTGGGGGTGGCGAAGCACTCTTCAAGTTTGTACACTGCCAGAGTCCTCTCACCATTGTCACAGCGCTACGCCTGATGTCGCCACGCTAGATGCTTTGCCGAGGAAGCGAGCTGCTCGCCGAAGTTTGACGGAAACTCATGATGGTTCAAGGAATGGTGTTTCTGTGTCACACTGGCCTTGAAATCACTGCAGATTGGTAGCCCTGACCGGCAAGTGGATTTTGCGTCAAGTTTCCTTGTCGGAAATGCCCGACTGTGGTTGATAACAACCCTGGAATCGGGGCAGAAATTTGCAGACTGGCCGGCATTGAGAGATGCCTTGGGCAACGTCTATAGCCATCGGCACGACGACGAGCAAGTCCGTCTAGAGCTATTCTCCATCATCTGTCAGGGCTCCATAGATTCGTATATTGCTGATTTCTCTCGGCTAACCCTCCAGGTGCCCGAGCTGGACGACCACTCTAGAGCTTGCCTCTTCATAAATGGTCTCCCGGCGACTACTAAACGTCACGTCATCTGGGAGCATCCGAGGACGCTGGCAAGTGCTGTCCAAGCCGCACTAATGGTTGCCCAGGACGATCGATCTAGCAGGAACCAGTCGATGCCTGACACACGAAGGCTTCAGAGACTCAGCCCAGACGAGCGCCAGCAACAAGGCTGTTTTCGCTGCCGCTGCACTGGTCATTTCGCCAACAACTGCCCTGTTAACGGAAGACCTCACCCAAACGCTGGACGCCAGCAGAGTTATACATTCAAAATGTCTTTCGTTTACATGGCCTAAGTTCTACCATTGTTTCTGACCGTGACCCCAGGTTTACTGCTGCCTTTTTCCAGGAGGTAGTTGCCCAGCTTGGCACAACATTGTCGTTTAGCACCGCTAATCATTCCCAACTGATGGTGAAACAGAAAGGGTCAATAGGCAAGTCGAGGACGTTCTAGGAGCTTTCGTGAACCATAGGCAGGATAACTGGGATATATTGCTTCCCCTCTGTGAATTCGCAATTAACAATTCCCACCACTCTTCAATTCCGAACACACCCTTTTATTTGAATTATGGTTTTAACCCTCAGTCGCCTCCTGACCTTATTTCAGCAAGTAGGGGAGGAAGTATTGACTGGTTGCAACAACAACACGATGCTCTGAAAATTGCTCGTGACTGTATGATAGCTGCCCAGGCACGCCAAGCCTTGTACGCTGATCGTGGCCGAACACCAAGTGAGCTCAGTACCGGCGACCCCGTCCTGGTTCACCGCGGCTTCCTAATAACAGCTGAGGCGCGTCAACAGCCATCAAGAAAGCTGCAACCGAAGTGGTTTGGTCCCTTCACGATTGTAGAAAGAATTGCTGCGAATGCATACCGGCTGGACCTGCCTGGCTCTTTCCGGTGTCACCCGGTGTTTAATGTCACCGCTCTCAAACCGTACAAGGAAAATGTTATCCCCGGCCGACGGCAGTCAGCTCCGCCATCGTTCAGTGACCTCGACGGTAACACACGCTTCATGGTTGAAGCAGTTCTGGCTCACCGTCGTCTACGTAGTCAAATTCAATACCTTGTACATTGGAAGGGCTATCCCCTGGACGAAGCCACGTGGGAACCCAGAGACCATCTGCTAGATGAATCGGGAAAGCCCATTGTGCAGCTTGCTGGGTATATGCGCCAACATCTGCATTAGTCTTAGGAGCATATCGACTGAACTGGTCTGTTGCAAACTTTTACTCTAGCGTTGTTTCAATGAATTAATTGGGTTGGCTCTCTCCACTGCATTACGGTGTAGAGGCCTTGATAATTGATTGTGGATTTGACACAGCCTGAGCCATTAATACTTTTTCCTCTTATTATTACTTTCTTAAGTCACTTTGTGCCTTCTAATGGGGAAGGGATGATGTCACAATTCTCACCCATTTACCTTCCTTCTCACCTTCCTTCTCACAATATTCACACCTATCTGATATATAAGCGCTGAGCAGGATCCTGCTCAGCCTCTTTCTTCAAATATCAACGTCGACCTGTTACACGTACCTTCTCCTGTGCAAGCGTAGCAATATCCAGAGCTCCGTACATAAACTTGCCAGTGACGGTGGCTGTGCTATTGAGACTGATGGCGCAATCAGTAGCACGGTGGTTAGCCGATACACTCTGTTCACACGTGCAGTGTAAGGCATGTGTGAGACCGGGTAAGGGATGTGTGAGTCCGTATATGGGGTGCGTGAGTTAGTGTGAGGGTGTGGGAATGTGTGCAAGAGATGTGTGAGTGAATGTCACAGTAGAGTCACAGTAGAGGGAAGAAGATTGACTGTCAGACAATAACAGCAATAGCATTAGCAACCCTCACTGGCCAATGTATGGACAGCTTACAGCCATGAACAGGTAATCTGAGCCACATCAACAGCAGCAGCAACAAGAGCAACTACAGCAGCAGCAGAATCAGTAGCAGCTAGTGCAGTTCGGCAGCAGCAGCAGCAGCAGCAGCAGTGTGGTCAACATCCGTAACAGAACTGCTACCAAGAAATCACTCTCCTGTGTCAATACAGCACTCCATAGCTGAGTATGATCGTCCACACATGCATAGAAGTAATTGCTCATTTCATACTCAAGTGGGATATAGCCAGACCAAGCACCAAGATACCAGAGTGTATGGCCCGGCAACCTGATTGCTAGATTATTATTATACTTCGAAGTAATAATTATTATTTATTGTTCTTTTACTAGGGAATTCCCAACAGGCGTCAGCGCCTTTTTACAGGGAACCCTAGGGGTAGCTAGATATGGTCGGATCACATTAAAACGAGCGGCACAGCAACACCACCAGTGTTCACCCTCAATCTATCAGCACCTCACCTTCAGCTTCAAAGAGGTGGCTTTCGACAGCCACTTCTCCCTGGGCTGGTCCGGCACAAAGAGGGTTGAGCCACGTCCAACAACGGTCATGTCACTATGTGTGCCTGGCATCAACTGAGAAGTGTGCAGGACACATCAGAGAACACACAGTGAAACAGCACACAATCAAGAGTGGAAATTGAAGTTGAACCTGGAACATTGACTAACAACAAAGACCAACGTTAGGTCAACCATCCTCAACATACAGCAAAGCAGCAGAGACTTTCTGCAAAACCACATATACACTAGACATATACACTAGACATATACACTAGACATATACACTAGACATATACACTAGACATATACACTAGACATATACACTAGACATGTACTAGTATACTAGAACACCGGGACTACTACCCCTTCTTGAGGAATAGGAGTGTACAGTACTACTGGCGGGCGCCAAAAGAATGAGGTGCCAAAGAGTGAACAGGCTAGAACTTCACCAAGCATAGTTCACTAATGTGTATATAGTGACTGAACTGCATACAGTCAGACCTCGTTTAACCGCTCACATCCACTTTCCACAAAAAAATCCGCATAGGCCAGGGAACCGGATAATCGAACACACACACTGTATGTATGCATGGCATATGCTGAAAATCGGTAACCAACGATTTTCGTCCGGATGGCGAGGGATCCGGATAAAAGAGGACCGGATAAGCGAGGTCTGACTGTATATGCAATCATAGACTGTAGCATGAAAAAGAACAACCCCGGCTCTGCCTCCGAACCCCGAACCCTTCAGCATCAGACAGTAGTGTGCAGGACGGTTAGTCATAAGAATGAGCCAGACTAGTGCACTGGCTTTGATAACAGGGCCCGGCCCGTCTGCTTCTACTTTGCACTGCTATACCATCGTATTCCAACATGAACATGATCGTACACGTTATCCCAACCACTGGCATTGCAACACTAAACAGAGGCTGCAACAAAGTTGAAAGACAGTTGAGCCACTCAACACTTCAGATCATGTTTTTCCCACCGCTGAAATTAGAAATTTACTGGCTCACAACCATCCGAAATTCACGAGAATCATTCTCGTGAGAGTCTCCAACAAATCTTATTTTTAAATCTTTCACTCGGCACCCGACCTGGACAAAATTACAGTGATCATTCCCTGATGTTGTGTTGACCAAGCTTATTTACCTGCCTGATGACGAAAGCAGCTAGGTCGAGACTCTCCCAGAAGCTGCTGTGCAGAATGGGTGATATAGCAGAGTCTGGAAGCATGTCCACGGCATCTGGTGCGTACAGCTTATAGTCAATGCGACGATCTCCCCACCAGTTAGGTGGAACCATGGCTAAACAACACACAATGCACACACACACACATACATGCGTACGCACGCACGCACATACACACACACATACACACACATACACACACACACACACACACACACACACACACACACACACATACAACATGTGGACATAGTATAGTTGTTCTTAGCAGTCTCAGTAACGACATGGAAGATCACACGACGCCTTGTGTAGAGCAATATGTTTAACAACAAGTGGAGCAAGAAAGGCAGATTCTTACTTTCCTGCTAAAATGCTCCAAAGAGCCAAATATAGCACCAACGGGAACTAATACCTGCTAAAATGCTCCAAAGAGCCAGATATAGCACCAACGGGAATTAATACCTGCTAAAATGCTCCAAAGAGCCAGATATAGCACCAACGGGAACTAATACCTGCCAAAATGCTCCAAAGAGCCAAATATAGCACCAACGGGAACTAATACCTGCTAAAATGCTCCAAAGAGCCAAATATAGCACCAACGGGAACTAATACCTGCTAAAATGCTCCAAAGAGCCAAATATAGCACCAACGGGAACTAATACCATACAGGAACAGTTAGCACGTAGCAGAATCAATAGCAACAGAACCACTAGCAGTACCAATACCATAGCAACAGAACCACTAGCAGTACCAATACCGCCACAGGCACTGCCACAGGTACGGCACACCGAGCAGCAGCAGCGCATTCTGATTCATCCCCGCCATACTGTGACCACATTACTTGCACGATACTGCTTGGTCGGCCAAGTGCTCTATGTAGTTGTGGTGGGTGTGGTGGTGGTGGTGGGTGTGGTGGTCGTGGTGGTCGTGGTGGTGGTGGTTAGGGTAGTGATGGTGGTGGTGCGGGTGGTCGTGTTGCTGGTGCTGGTGGTTGTGGTGGTAGTGTCATCTTCATTGTTCAATCCACAAAGTGCAGGGATGAATTTACTGTCATATTTTTGCATAGCAGTTTCTGCTATACGAAATCACAATTGTGTAGCAGTCTTTGATTTTGATAAGCATTTTTTCTTTGGAGGTAGGGTATTTACCACATTGTCCTTCTTGAGAGTGATGCCTGAAAGCCTAAAACGACTGAAGCATACATGTGCACGCAGATTGAGAGTGCCTGCACCACATACATTGCACTGTATGACTTGATAGCACAGGCTAGGCATGGATAGTCTGTATGTATCGCAATTTTCTGCGAGTCACGGTGACTTTTGTGTAGCAGCAGATCGATTTTGCATCGCAAACTGCGATGCGATACAGGATAAATTCATCCCTGAAGTGTGATACCGACAGTGAAGAACCCATCAAGTTGACGTCACGGCGGTGGCAGCGGTGGTAGGAAAAGTGCCTAATCTGCATGCTGTTTCCTTATAGGGCGTGAGCCAGCATGCGTTGACTGCTGTACACTCCCTAGCGATCAACTCTTGAACTGAACTATCAGTATCACCGTATCTTCAACTGATGTTACCTCACAGCCTCATATAATCACCACTATTAATTACATCTCTCTTATTGGCCAACGGCCAACGTCAGAAAGAAAAATAATAACAATAGTATTCCTGAACCACAGGACAATAGCCATTACAACGTATTGTGAGCGGTTGTCTCTACCTACCTTTGTCCGTCATTGAATCTTGGCTAGTACGGCTATGTCCACTTCCACCTCTAGAAGCACGTACCAACCGCAGTTGATGTGATCCCAACGCCATGGCCAGGTCATGGCTGCCGCTGGTATCCGCCGGCAGAAGACCAGGGTACTTCTTCAAACATGCCGCAATGGAAGTGTCCGCTCCATCGCCGTACGGGAAATACCGGTACTGCGAGATTGAATGCAGGGGTACTCGGCACAGGTCGGCGTACAGCAGCGGTTCAATACGGGATGAGAACGGCGAGGTTTCGTAGAAGATATTGTAGAAGTTGCCCACACCATGATAGTCGGGAATGACTTGACCTGGGGTCAAAACAAGAGAGAGAGAGAGAGAGAGAGAGAGAGAGAGAGAGAGAGAGAGAGAGAGAGAGAGAGAGAGAGAGAGAGAGAGAGAGAGAGAGAGAGAGAGAGAGAGAGAGAGAGAGAGAGAGAGAGAGAGAGACCGAGAGAGAGAGAGAGAGAGAGAGAGAGAGAGAGAGAGAGAGAGAGAGAGAGAGAGAGAGAGAGAGAGAGAGAGAGAGAGAGAGAGAGAGAGAGAGAGAGAGAGAGAGAGAGAGAGAGAGAGAGAGAGAGAGAGAGAGAGAGAGAGCGTAGTACAGTAAAACCTGTCAAGGCGACCACTTGGATAAGGCGACCACCTGTCCTAGAAGACCACTGAAACCTGGACCAAGGGATGCTGTTTCCAGTCAAATGACCCTGGATAAGGAGACCACCCGGTGACAGAGACCACGTTTTCCTGGTCCCTTGAGCGGTCATCTTAGACAGGTTTCACTGTATAACGAGATGCAGGATTGTTTACAACGAAATGCAGGATTGGTTAAATACATGTCACATGAAACTTACTGTCACACCTGAGATAATTAGAGAATTGCTGGAGCTCATGATGATTGGAATGACCATGGCTCACACTCAGTGGACTAGCCAGGTGGCGTGGTGGACTAGAAATACGAGAGAGCTTGGAAGCTCAGGGCCCTACGCTATGCTTTGTTGCCTAGCTCATCGTGCATGTTGTTAGAACTGATGGAAATGTTTTTTTCCTTTGATTACCTACATCATTGTATTGCAAAAACGTTTCAATGAGCTACTGAAGTAACGTCTTCTGCATAGCTATTGGACTGGCGCTGACTCTGCCGATCACGGGCGTTCTGGAGTCGACGGGATGTCTGTCCTGACGTTTCCTGGGACCAGCGCTGACTCTGCCGATCACGGGCGTTCTGTAGTCGACGGGATGTCTGTCCTGACGTTTCCTGGGACCGGCGCTGACTCTGCCGATCACGGGCGTTCTGTAGTCGACGGGATGTCTGTCCTGATGTTTCCTGGGACCGGCGCTGACTCTGCCGATCACATGCGTTCTGGAGTCGACGGGATCTCTCTTCCGACGTTTCCTGTGACCGGCGCTGACTCGCCCGTTCACACTTATTTCGGAGACGACGGGATCTCTCTTCCAAAGTATGTTTTCGCTGACGCATCCTATTACCTATTTGGCAACTAACGTCCATTCTAATTTGCATTTCGTCCTCGTCTCCCTATTCCTTTCCAGAAAATCTCCCTATACATCAGGGAGTCGTATACATAATACGACGAATATTGTGGCCAGCTGTTTGTTTTTTCATAACGTTTTTATAACGTTTGTGGCCAGCTGTGTTTGATGGTACGGTACGGGACAGATACGGGATAGCGCCAGCAAATATTGTGACCAGCTGTGTTTGATGGTACGGTATGGTACGGGACAGATACGGGATAGCGCCAGGCGTGACACAAACACACAAACAAACAAATACCAAATTATAGCTGTGTGGACCCTGGCTAGCGCCAGACGTTACTGAAGTAACGTCTTCTGCATAGCTACGGGAATAAAATTAAATATTTTAATACTAATTGCCTGGTCCCTGCGAGATGTAATTCTGCGCAATAGGCAGTGCACGCGATAAATAACAACCAGCAATACACAGACCACTGCTGGTTCAGGAGGTTGTACAATATCAGGCTTGAACCAGTGGTGGTGGTTGTGTGTGGGGGGGGGGGGGGGGGAGCATAGTCAAGACTCCACCTGTACCAAACCATGATAGGCTCAGCGTACAGCAATAGAAACCAGCATGCACGTAAGGAGCTGGACTACAAACTACTACAAGTACATAGCCATACTCTTAAGGAGTGAATGATCATATTGCCCATGCATGAGCACAAGTACCAGAACTCAGGTACTGCAAGTGTGCAAGGGCAATGTAATGTCTAATTCATCAAATCCCACGTCACTGCTACATGCACAGTACTTGACACCTCCTGTACATACGCCTCTAACGTTACAAGTCACAATGTACTTGATGTACGGTGAAAAAGGAGAAGGACAAAATTTACGAGTTACGACTAACTGTCCACCAAAGTAACCAGATCTTATACAGTCAGCGAGTGCGACAAAATGGCACAAAACTGACAAGGAGCACTGAGACATTCGGCGACCCGACACCTAGCTCCAACACTTCTCCAAGGCACCATAATTTAATTGGCTCACCATCCGAGTTATACATGATGTACCTGGGTCATTTTAATTAAAAATGTTGGTTCAAAGGTCCAATCGAGTGCTCGGTTACTTGACCTTTTTGATAAGTTCCAAGGTCAAGTCCGCAATACTGCATGTGACATTAGAGAGTTTTCTGACCAGTATCGAACAACACTGCACGCTCTCCACGAGCGTTGATTGGCTCAATCTATCGCAACAGGTACGTGACATATGATAAGAGCACTGACTGTTAGTGCAGCACCATACACAGTACAACTTGTGACTAACGACCACCCCTGGTTGGGACCAGAGAAAGCGGTCTTTAGTGACCGGTGGTCCTTAGTTAGAGGTTCGCACCGCACAACCATATATGAATGTGAGACCGTCCGTGCCGGGCGAAGTGGTCTGTAGTACCAGGCTGGCCGCTAGTCACGGCGGTCTTTAGTTAAAGGTTTTACTGTACTCCGAAAGTGGTTGAAACAAGAACATGCATACACTCACCACCAATTGCAGCAGGACCTGGCATTTGAAGTTGCCGGTGAGCCAGTATGAGGCCAAGTGGTGAACCCAGAGCAAAGAAGTGACTAGTCTGAAAAACCAGACCGTTATCGCAGCCCATCATCGCTCCTATGTCTGGTGCAAGAACAAAACAAAACAAAACAACCACAAAAAATGCAGAACGAAAATATTATACCAATGCCGCGGCATGGGCTCTCAAATAACTCAAGCGTATTGGTATCTATAAATCACAATGAAGAGTAAGGGAAACAGGGGACTTAACTTGTTGGGATGGTGGCTAGCATCTAATATTGCTGTGAACTACGCAATTCATGTATATCCGCTCTCTCCCGCGGTTGTTTTTGTGAACTTGCTGTACTTCCGTTACATCAGTAGTTTACACTCGATCTATAGTTCGTACTTTTGCAAATCCCATTTCCGTTTACTCTTTGACAATCGCCCCCTTTACACCACTGCTCTGGCACTGTTGGGTCTAACGATGTACTTCTTGCCTTTAAAATACTACACAAATTAGCTATGTACTCATTTTAGCTATGCACTCGTTTTAGCTAACACTCTATTTGCACCGTAATTTCACGGTTGGCGTAGAGGATAGGTTACACCGAGTTTTCGCATCCGTAGGAACGCCACCACCTTCAAGGATCAGGCAGCCTGTACCAGTCCCGGATGCTAGTACATTTTGTTTACTTCAATAACACTGTCCACCGGGGAAAAGGAGAACAAGAGAGTAGGAGAAAGAAAATATTGAACAATGGGACGCGGTGGGTGCTACAGGGTGGCCAGCCGTGTTGGTGAATCTGGAGGCACTCCACTGACCATTGGTCTCAGCATCAGCATGCATGCAACGTACCGCAGGACTCTCGGCGTGATCGCGAGGACTTGGGAGTCCCCAGGGTGGGAGAGCCACCAGCGGACAGACTGTGCAGGGAGAGGCTATCACAGGGATCGCGGCTCATCGTTGACGTCCACTGCAGAGCGTCATAGGCCAGGATGGCGCCCATGCAATCTCCAACGATGCACACCTACAGCACATAGGCAAATCGCATACGCACCCATGCATGTACACATGTACCCATGCATGTACACATGTCCACACACACCCATACACATGGGAACAGAGGCCAACAGAGCGAAACACACACACACACACACACACACACACACACACACACACGCACACACACACACACACACACACACACACACACACACATCATTTTCCATTCCAGCCATTGATCCTGTCTCCGCAGATGCAGCGACTCCCTGCACTATGTGTACTGGAGCTACACGGAGAACTCATTGCAGGGGCGGCGGAAGGTGTTGCAAGTTGGTCAGGCCAGTCCCCCCCCCCCCCCCCCCCCCCCAGATGCAAGCAGATGGACTGTGCAAGTACCCAATAAAAGAACAGAAAACACATTTGTGGCGGTCGCCAAAGTTGGTCAGGCCATGGCCTGACCGGAAGGACCAGCTCCACCTCCCCTAAATTGGGATACTCTAAATCAACTGATTTTTGCTGGCGATTTGATTTCGCGGTTTGATTTCGCTGATTTCGCCGCAGGTACCAACCGGCCAAAGTTTGTCATAGAGTCAAATGATGCATGGATGCATGTGAGAGCACCAACTACGGATCGATTTCTTTTTTGAAAACCCGAATCGGCCAAAGTTTAATGACGGCCAAAAGTTTCATTTCGAGATCGGCCAAAGTTTCTCGCCGCCCAAAATTAATGATGTCGATTTACAGTAATCTATGAGATGTTGGTTCAAACAGAATGTGTTCCCAGTTAAACTTACATCTCCCGCAAAGTTCTTTCCTTCTTCAGACTGGACAAACTCCATGTAAGCGTTATTGGCTGCGATCACGGTGGCCTGGACGTGCTCGCGGTAGCCAAACTGCGATGCAGCCATCAACGGTATCATGTTGAGAAAGCCGGTACCAAACACACCCGTGTTATTGCTGGGTGCCGATAATCCGCCGCCAGCAGCACCAGCAGCACCACTAGTCTGTGGTGCTAGTCTCTGCTGTGAGCTAGCGTCCACTAAGTCCAGGGTGTGTAGGGCTCGCGAACAGAACTGTGGACACGACACATGGCGTACGGCAAAATGACCCGTCACCCCGCCATAGTGTGCCTGCAGGGAAGGTGGACATGAACAGAAAGACACATCCACACACGTGCACACACACACACACACACACACACACACACACAAACACACACACACACACACACACACACACACACATACACACACACACACACATATTAAACCCAATATTTCCAATGCCCCAGGGTAATGAGAACACACTGGTGCATAGCATGGTTTCTTTCTACCCACATGCCATGTACACATTAAAGGGGAAGTTAAGGCAAAAATTAAAATTTCACCAGTTGTAGTTTTCGGGGTGCTGAGGCGAATGGTCTTGGTCCGAGGAAGCTGAGACGCTCCCTTCCTACTTGAATCCCAATCGAACTCGCGCACTTCCACCGAAACTGGGTGACTGCGCCCTACTAGATGGGGATTTGTATGCAAAATGTCACTAAAAGCGCCATTTCGTTCTTATAAAAGCACGGATGACCGCGATTGGCCCATATGTTGTAGTCCTTTGGACGCTGAGTCGACTGGTTTTGGTCCGAAAAGGCTGCGATGCAGCGTTCCTCCTTTATTCCCAATCGAACATGGTTGAACAAGCGGTCACGTGCTCCTGGGTGCCCAAATCACCTGGTCACCACGCCAGCAGGCGACAACTTTCACACCAAGGTTCAACTCGAGTTCAACTCGAGTGACAGGATTGCACCCAAAAAAGGTCAAACAGGCTAGTAAGTTGTACCCTGCAGGCACGGTGACCAGGTGACTGGCGTACGCAGGAGCACGTGACCGCTTCTTCAACCATGTTCGATTGGGAATAAAGGAGGAACGCTGCATCGCAGCCTTTTCGGACCAAAACCAATCGACTCAGCGTCCAAAAGACTACAACATATGGGCCAATCGCGGACCTCCATGCTTTTATAAGAACGAAATGGCGCTTTTAGTGACATTTTGCATACAAATCCCCTCTAGTAGGGCGCAGTCATCCAGTTTCGGTGGAAGTGCGCGAGTTCGATTGGGATTCAAGTAGGAAGGGAGCGTCTCAGCTTCCTCGGACCACGACCATTCGACTCAGCACCCCGAAGACTACAACTGGTGAAATTTTAATTTTTGCCTCAACTTCCCCTTTAACAACCACATCTGCCTGCACGGGTACCAAATCACAGCATACTCTGGAGCATTCATACACTCCGCAGACATGGCACTGGCTTGTGCCTTGCACACCACACCACAAGACCTAGCAGATCTGATCAACACTGAATGAAGCGTGGCTGCTCCAGGAGTCTCTCACCTCCGAGACAGACTCGAGTTTGGACTGGAATAGATTGACGTTGAACTGCTGAGTCGCGTAGTCATGGTCCGTGTCGAGCGGTTGTCCGCCGTGAAACACCAGTATCAGTGTTGCCAGTTTGGACGAACCGCCGCTGTCTCCACTGTCATGCGATGACGCTGGACTGACACTCTCGGCAATGTGCGGCTGATGGGAATACTCCAGACCTGCATGATGTCATCATGACGTAATGCAATAGCAAGGAAGCAAGCAAGAGCAAGGCAGGTAAGCGTGATGGGTATACAAGATTATGGTGAAGTCATCGTGATAGCAAAACAATCAAGAGTCATCACCGATGGGCTAGTTTGATCACTGCGTGATGATTACGGTTGTGTGAACAAAACTGCGATATCATGCCACAGTAGAGGCTAGAGAGTAACTGAAATACCAGTATTGACTGATTTCATCTCTCTCCTCCACCCCAAACAAAACCACGCGTAATTCAGTGCTGCTGCATAATGCATACTATCAAAATAGATAGTCTGTAAGAATATACTAAGAAGACCATTCTCCTTCCTAATGTGCCAGTACCCTTACTATGCTGATATAATCATCATAATCATGATGTCATCATGATGTCATGGCAAGTACACGATGAGGTAACGGATTCACATACATCATGCACCCAAAGAGTATACCTGTGTTACGTCTCTCGGAAGGAGACTGTGCCAAGTGTTCCACAATGACAGGCACACTAGCTGCAAGCAGCCCCTTTCCTCCTGTGATACCCAAACACACGTACACACACACACACACACACCATGTACAATGTATACGCCCGTCGCAAGAGAAGAACGCAAATCTGCAAATGCACTGGATGTGCATCCACAGATTTTCTCTTATAGCAACGATAGCGAACAAGATCTGGATGAGACAGATCAAGACTTGCGCCACTGTCTAATCCACACAACTGGCAAACACACACACACACACACACACACACACACACACACACACACAAATCCTGGGCATATGTAATGAAACACACTACAGGAGAGGAGTCTGATAGTTAGGACTTGGAAGTCCCAACTATCGTATTTTTCGTAGAGAGAGTTGCACTTTTAAAACGCGTCAAAAACTCAAAAATTGGTCCTGTTACTAAGGCTCCCAATGCCTGAAAAAATCCAGCGCTGCAGCGCTCCATGCATATAGTTGCATGTGTGGTGGCACTGGACTACTTCTCGTGTTGCGCAATCTCTCATTGTACCATTGCGCTGGTCCTACGTGTTTTCGGCTCCGAATGAAGGAGAAACTAGGAAACTTTGGGTTTGGGCAGCAACAAGCCCATCTCAGCAACAAGGATCCTGCTACCCTTAGTGGCCTTACAGGCTACAGTGCTGTCGGGCGCTGAAGAACGGAGCGCCAAAGAACGGAGCGCCGAAGAACGAACAGACTAGATTTCATCAAGCACAGTGTACCAATGTACACACTGTGACTGAACTGTGCATAGACTGTAATACATGAAAATTAAAACGGTCTAGGCTAGGAGGCTGACCACCCCAGTTCTTCGGCCACTTTCTCCATCACAGGGAGAACTCTGTTTTACAATTTTGAAACCAATTCTACAACATGTCTTACCCAACAAGAATATGAGGATGAAACGTGTTTTTACACCGAGTTTCACGCACTAAGCGACCATCAGAAAACAGTTCTGTTGGAACTAGCTCTGCCTTTCGACATTGAGCACACTATTGCACAGCCTAGAACCTCTCTGTTTTACAACATGTCTTACCTACAGTTTGGGATTCAGCAGCAGCAGCAGCACTGCTCCTGGCCAGTCCCCTGTTACCACCACTGCCACGACCGTGCGTTGCGTCTGCAATGGCATGAGCAATTCCCGCACGTCTTCGTCTCGATGAAAGGGAAGAGCGATCATCCTCGTCATCGTCCTCGTCACTGCTGGTATCTGTGTTTGTACATATCAAGCAGAAAAAGATCATCATCATCATCATCCACCATCTTCTTATCTTAAAATTCATGCATTATCACTGGCATTTCAAGCTCCCTGGCACTGGATATCTGATCTCAGTGGTGTCCAGTTGGAGCTCAATGTACGCAGCTCGTGGAGAGCTTTCCAGAATGCCCAAGAGTGTGAAAATTGGTTGATTAGAACCGAAGATATTCTCAGAATAAGGTGAGAAATATTGCATTTGGGACTGCTGGGGAATTTTGGTCGGATGGTAAACGGTTAAGTTGTCAAAGGCAAAAATTACAGATGACTACTGCCATAGTTGAACCTAACTTATCTGGGCACCTTTGGTCAGGGACCCAGGGGAAATGTGTCCAGATAAAACTGCATTGTCTCGCGGCCCAGAGCCAGCTCTCGGACCAGCTACAGGGCCGATCATTTTCCGACGCCCTATTTCGGTGTCATCATATCGGGTAGGATGCATCTCTGGATCTTTGCTCAATCATATCTGGTTGCTTCAAGTACACATTCCGTGAGAAACAGATATACAGCTAGCACTGTGAGGAGAAAAGTTATCAAAAGCCTGGATTCGAACCAATATTGCTGAACTTTAAGAGGCGATTTACACGACGGCAGGATTCATTCCGTGCGTGATGCTACCATGGAGATTCAGTCACATGTACTCATATTTTGGCGCGAACGTATCCCGTCGGCTATCCCGGTACGGTCCAAGTGCCATGAGGGGGCTGGTTTGTACTACAGGTACTGTACATGCATCCTGCCATGTGAATCGATTTTCGTTTTTCCCGTATCACGACAAGCTCTCAGGATCACGTGCTTCTCTTCCCGGCAGGATGCACTGCCGTCGTGTAAATCGCCTCTTAGAGAGAATGCTAGTGGGGACAATCGAAGGTTTCGAATGACAGCGCAGTCTGGATAACCGCGTGATCTGGATGACCGCGTGGTCTGGACAAGCAAGGCTCCACACTGTACTTCAATTCTACGCAATGAAATCCGATCTCGTGAGTCAAGTTTACGCCACTTCACACCCCAGTGTTCGCAGATCTAGGGCTGCACAGTGCCCGGCGTGTACTGGACTCATGCGGCCAGGTTTCATTGAGCAGCGCTGTACAGTCAGACCTCGCTTATCCGGTCCTCCATTATCCGGATCCCTCGCCATCCGGAAGAAAATCGCTGGTTGCCGATTTACAGCATATGGCATGCATACATACAGTACGTGTGTTCGATTATCCGGTTCCCTCGCCTATCCGGATATCTTTGTGGAAAACGGATGTGTGCGGTTAAGCGAGGTGTGACTGTGGTAAGATAGTCACAGTTACTCTCAACACTGTACTACACGTGCAATCACTCACTGAGTAGCTCATCACTATCAAAGAGATCGCTGGGTGTTTGATGACCGTCGGCATCCACATCTCCTCGTCTCCGCGCGTAGAACTTGCGTCTCCCTGACGACGTAGTTGCCGAGTACATGGCAGAGTCGGCAACAACAAACGTGGCTGCCTCTTCGTCAGACACATTCTCTGAACACACATGTACAGCAAGCAGGCATTATGCGGTGAGGAATGGACATGTACAGCAAGCAGCTAAACACACAGGGATGACAACTGGAACAAAGGACATACATACACAGAAAAGTATTCACTACTAAAATTTAATATTAAAATAGCAAAAAAAAGAGAACAAATTCTGCCGTCATCGCCACGGAATTCGTTCTCTTTATTGCTATTTTAAAATTGTTGTCTCCGCGTCGATTATTTTAACTACTCAATATACCGGAGTTTTAGTGCAGAAAGCATCATCTTGTTCAACATACCAGGGCCGGTGGAGCCGCTCCGGTCGGTCCGGCCATGGCCAGACCAACGTTTCGGCCACTGACGATCTTTTTTACGACGCAGTAACGTTATGTTGTGATCATCGATTGCATGTGCGTAGATCTACGCGTACTTGCGATCTCGCTCTGATCTTGCCGTGCACGCGTGCGCGCTTGATCGAGGGCTAGCTGTGGCCTGCAGACCTAACGTCTGTGGGCCTGTGTCGTGGCGCGAGTCGCGCGACCTGAAAGCACGTGCCATGATGGATTCTACCAAGAGTACATAAACCTTTTTTACACAGCTAACACAGCCTTTCGCCTCTGTTGTGTGTGTAAACCTTTTTTATGTTCTCTTGATTCTACATAGTCATTGTGGATTTTGTAGTCTTGAGGGTTTTTCGTTGAGTGCTTCAGATTCTTGTACTGAACGAAGTAGTTTTTCAATTTTTTCTCGCTGTTTGGTCAGCTTACAGTGCATGCTTAGCAGCTATGGCTTCTTCCAGCAAAATATCTGTGCCAAAATATCCACCCAACCACTTCCTTCGCGTTTCATCGGCGGGAATTTGGGAAAAAGACAATGGTGAAGCGCTCTTGTCAGGCGTCATATATCAAGACATGGTCTTGGTTGACCTACGATGAGCAAAGAGATGTTGTGTTGTGTCACACGTGCGCAAGTGCTGTGCTGGCGAAAAAACTTGGCCGGACCAATCAACAATTGCTTCCGCCGGGCCTGCATACTGTCTCTTACTGCACAGGCTAGTGATCAGCAGGTCAGAAGAAACCCAATGCTTCTCTCTCCAGCAACGATAAAGAAACACGGGCGGAAATATCCGTCATTACAGATAAACATTCTGAACTTGCTTCACGGTCATAGGGTCTGGATGGTAGTGGTGTACAGGTCTCAGTCTAACCTTGTTAGTCCAATGAAAACACCGGGGGGGGGGGGGGGGGGTAAAGTTATTTGTCTTACAACGAGTATCATCTATTATCCGGACTTGCAAATAATTATGACTGTTAAATGGGTTGCAGGCGTCAGGGGATTTTGGTTCGTTGTCTACTGATGAGGTTTGTCTCGTAACCGATGTCGTACTAATGAGGGCAGTGGTGTAAATCGACATGCTTGCTAAGTGGAGAAGATCGCGACTGAGGGGGAACAACAAGTTACCACCTACACCCAATATGGTACGTGTACTTACCCTTTGCATCATAGAACTCCTCGTCTGAGTCAGTATCAGATGCTGCAAGAGCAGAGAATGCATTACCAACGATGAGCTCTGCCTCGATCTCAATTCACCTGCACAATCATAGAGAGAGGAGAGAGAGAGAGAGAGAGAGAGAGAGAGCGAGAGAGAGAGAGAGAGAGAGAGAGAGAGAGAGAGGAGAGAGAGAGAGAGAGAGAGAGAGAGAGAGAGAGAGAGAGAGAGAGAGAGAGAGAGAGAGAGAGAGAGAGAGAGAGAGAGAGAGAGAGAGAGAGAGAGAGAGAGAGAGAGAGAGGGAGGGAGGGGAGGGAGGGAGGGAGGGAGGGAGGGAGGGAGGGAGGGAGGGAGGGAGGGAGGGAGGGAGGGAGGGAGGGAGGGAGGGAGGGAGGGAGGGAGGGAGGGAGGGAGGGAGGGAGGGAGGGAGGGAGGGAGGGAGGGAGGGAGGGAGGGAGGGAGGGAGGGAGGGAGGGAGGGAGGGAGGGAGGGAGGGAGGGAGGGAGGGAGGGAGGGAGGGAGGGAGAGAGGGAGGAGGGGAGGGAGGGAGAGAGGGAGGGAGGGAGAGAGGGAGGGAGGGAGAGAGGGAGGGAGGGAGAGAGTGAGAGAGCATCAACCTGACAGAGTACTAAGACCTTTGTCGACTTGACACCTAGCTCCAACACATCTAGATATGTGAGATGAGTTGGAGCTAGGTGTCAGGCCATTTTGGGATATGAGAATTCGGTCGGGTTCGAAAATATATACTAATATAGGGACTGGTTTACGAATTTACCAGCTGCATTCTTGCCATCGTGCACTCCATCTTACCTTGCTGTTTCTGTTTCTCTTGAGAGAGCTTCTGAATCTGTCCCTTGCACTAGCTTTAGAATGCATGGAGTGGGATGGTGACAGCTTGCCAGTCGGTGTGCCCTTCGTCAGCGAATGTGCACTGTGCACACACACGTACGTATGTTTGTATGAAAACATGTGTGTGTGTGTGTGTGTACGTGTGTGTGTGTGTGTGTGTATGTGTGTGTGTGTGTGCGTGTGTGTGTGTGCGAACGTGCATGTGTGTGTGTATTGAGGTGCATGAGATTGTGCGTATATAAGTGTTCACGCGTTGGCATATGCACACAGAGAAAAAACACATGAAGCATGAGAGAAAGAGACTCAACACAATGGCAATACTTTGCAATGAATCATGCACTCAAGTAAATGCTACATGTACAATGTACATACTCTTCTTGGACTGAAACAGTCCTTCCTTGGAATGCAATATCCCTCTCTTGAAAAAATGCCATTGCCTTCTTGGAATACCATATTCTCTTCCCTAAATACCACATTCTCTTCCTTGACCATCACATTCTCTCAGTCCCGGAATGCTGGAATGCTACATTAAACGTTTCTTGGAAAGAAGGGTCAGCACGATAATGTGGTATGAGCTAAGCTGCTGTTCGAGGCCAGTGCCTTAGTTAGATACAAGTGTAGCACCATCCACCCATCAGCCCGGGTGACGCACCATGTGAGAACTGGTGGTGGTGGCGGCAGCGTGCGCTGATCTGCGAGAAATGTTGCTTGAGAGCGAGTGTCACTGTGTGAGGTCAGGCATGTGTTCACGGACATTTTTGTCGGTGTGAAAACACTTGCCTTCCTTTGAATGGGATCACTCCCATATTTGCCTAAAGCTGAGCAACAAGGCCAATTAATGCATCGCAACCCACCTTCTTCTCTCGTGGGAAAATTGGGATGAGACTAAGCGAAACATCAAACCCAAGTTAAAAATCGGTAGATTTTTGCTCATTTCACATCCCACTGTTCTATAGTATGAGCCGCACCATGCTAAAAAGTGGCTTAGCGTTTTGCCAACAAATCGAGAAAATCACCAAAACGTCACAGTTGGCAAAATTCTACTCGAGCGCAATTGAGCAGGTCTTCAAATCCTTCGTGTCATTGATACCAGGCATTCTGTGACAAGTGCACAATGTATGCTTATTTATGGCACATATACATTTCAGATGGGCACCAAAATTTCCATGATGGAAGTTGGATATATAGACATCACTTCGGCATGAAAAAAGAATTTTCCAAAAATTATGCCTAAGTCACCTTTTGCCTGGCTCGGCTCATATTATTGTTATTCAGTCAGTATCCGAGTTCAAGGAATGGAAACAAAAGAAAACATTGTTTGAACACACAAAATGACGCGTGTGCACCAACCCGGCCATACCTTCCAGTCAGTGAATTCAAGTTTCGACAAGGGATATCCAAGCTGCCACGACCCACTGAAGAAGATACAGACCCGGAGAACGATGACAGTCTGCGATTGATGACTGGTGAGGATGTGGGAGAGTGTGCACCCAACACACTAGCTATGCGGGCTTGCTCCAGCTGAACACCACCAGCAAGGACAGCAAACATGGCAGCACCCATGCACAACACACACACACACACACACACACACACACACACACACACACACTCACACACTCACACACACACACACACACACACACACACACGCACACACATGCACCCAAACACACACACACACACACACACACACACACACACACACGTGACACACACACACACACATGTGCGCACGCTGCGCACGCATGCACGCACACACACACACACACACACACACACACACACACACACACACACACACACACACACACACGCGCGCACACACATGGTGAGGTGGGTCAATGCCCTGTAGTCACTGCTGATTGATGGTGATGAGGTATTAGCAATCCTGGATAGCAGCAATGGCTACCGATCATTGCGAGAGGCATGAACTGCGCTCAACTTTCAAGTGGGCGCTCCGCTATGTGCAATACATGCACTATCGATACTGTAGTTCCATGATGTTAGAGCAGAGGTGGCCATGACTGGCTAGCAGTCACTGAGGACTGAAATCTGCTATTCAGAGATGGCACAGTGCTACAAGCAGGACTGAGATCTGCTATGCAGAAATGGCAGAGAGGTAGAAGTAGGGTTGAGATCCAACCATTCACCTCATAGCCGCTATGTGGCAAAGATGTTCCCGGTTTCGGCTAGAATCAATCAAAGAAATTCTTACCTTCATTTCCAGCATGCTCTTGGTGTCTGCAATCGCTTCATCAGACGTTGCCGCGAGGGTTGCAACTTCCAACTCATCCTCCTCCTGCTGCTGCTGCTGTTGCTGTTGCCGGCAAAGGGAAGCAGAAGAGAAAGTATTAATCATGCCGGGCAATTTCATTGTGTTCACAGTCAAATGTGAGGTTTGTGCACGGTCTCATCACCGGCACCCGATCACAATGTACAGCGCTGGTGCTAATCTCCATGGCCACAGCAGTTCATACAATCAGTGCAGCCAGGACCCAGGGATGCTATTTCCAGGTAAATGACCCTGGACAAGTAGACCACCAGGTAACAGAGACCACATTTCGAAGGTCCCTTGAGCGGCCATCTTAGATAGGTTCCACTGTATACCCACTGTTGTCACCATCCGCCAGTAACAATGATGGATTTCAGCCCCGGTAACCAACTCACCTCCGTCGTTGCTGCACCCTCCATGTCAGATTCATCGCTAGCTCCGACTCTCCTCAGCGCTATTTCCGTTTCCTTTTCCAATCGGCGTATATCATCAATGTTCAGATGACACCATTCGTCTTGCCACGCCCAGGCCTGACGATGCGCACGTAGCATGGTCTTGCGCAGAGCTGTCTCGTGGATGAAGCGCTCCACGCGCGTCTGCATGCCCCAGTAGCGAAACTCTACTCGACACACCTGCAGGCATAGGGGATACAGACCGTTGGTGTTGACGTGTGATGCAGCTGAAACAATCAACCACGACTGGCACATGACCATGTGCTTACAGTCAAACTGATGTAAGGGATGTAAGGGATGTAAGGGATGATGTAAGGGATGATGTAAGGGATGTAAGGGATGTAAGGGATGTAAGGGATGTAAGGGATGTAAGGGATGTAAGGGATGTAAGGGATGTAAGGGATGTAAGGGATGTAAGGGATGTAAGGGATGTAAGGGATGTAAGGGATGTAAGGGATGTAAGGGATGTAAGGGATGGTGGTTCAGAGACACTGTTTTACACATGCTTGATACACTGCTGTGTTACGCATTGCCCGCCACTTTTCGTAGTTAGAGCACTCTGGCGCTAGAGGGATGAGCTATCTAAATATGTCTGGTGCCTCCTTCGCACCATAGCTGGTAACTCTTGCGTAAAGCTCATAGCTGTACTGATGAGGCCTTTATGGCCGAAACAGCTTGCTGTCTACAGCATTGGGCATGCTTGACACACATACATGTGCATATACAGCAGAGCAACGATTACCCGAACCATTCGGGGCAGGCGCCGTTCAGAAGGGGTTCGGGTGAGGGACATGTTCGGATACTGTAAATCTACAAACTTTCGGCCCATTCAAATTTCGGCCTCCCAGGACTAAAACACATTTCGGGCGCATCAAAATGTCGGCCTGTCCTGCTGCTGACTGTTTACACAGTCGCAATGAACCTTGCAAAACAAAATTTCGGCCGCAACAAATTTTCGGCCAAATACAACCAGGCCGAAAATAGCCGAAAACTGAATATCCGTTGGCTTGCAGTAAAGAGAGTCACAGATACGCATGCAGTATAGTATAGGGCTCATGAGTGCATGTGATACAGCTACATCACCGAACATGTGATACAGCTACATCATCGAACATGTGTACAAGGTGATGTACAGTAAAACCTGTACCTAAAGACGACCGTGACTAGCGACCAGCCACGTACAGACAGACCACTTCACCAGACACGGACGGTCTCACATTCATATTATGGTTGTGCTGTGCAAACCTCTAACTAAGGACCACCTGCCACTAAAGACCGCTTTCTCTGGCTCCACGGCCAAAGGGTGGTCGTAAGTCACAGGTTTTTCTGTACTAGTAGTTCTACCCTGCTGCATTGATGGGCATGTGGGCAGTGTCCACGTCATTCTGGACAAACAATCGTCGGGCTGATCAATGCCCTGCTGTACAGCATTAGCAAGTGACTTCCATGGACAATTCTTCTTTCTTCAATACCTTGTAAGCACACATAATTGACGACGGGTCCACATTCTCCAGCCAGGAGTTGTCCAATGGTCCACGGCCTGTCTCCGCTGACCGGAACAGCTTTGGGTCCTCCGCCTCAAAATAGTCTGTCACATCGTCCCTCACGATGTCCATGAAATCTGATAGGAAAAGCAAAAAAAGAAGGTATGAGGAGAGAGGGACAGAAACTATGTACAACGGTACATCCGATAGGCACAAAGGAGAGTAGAGTAAAACCTGTGACTAACGACCACCCCTTGCCCTTGGGGCCAGAGAAAGCGGTCTTTAGTGCCAGGTGGTCCTTAGTTAGAGGTTTTGCACCGCACAACCATAATAATTATATGAATGTGAGACCGTCCGTCTCTGGCAAAGTGATCTGTAGTACCAGGCTGGTTGCTAGTCACGGTGGTCTGTGGTACCAGGCTGGTTGCTAGTCACGGTGGTCTGTAGTACCAGGCTGGTTGCTAGTCACGGTGGTCTGTAGTACCAGGCTGGTTGCTAGTCACGGTGGTCTTAAATTACAGGTTTTACTGTATGTCACAACTCCGAGTTTCTTGCACTGTGACCATCAGGCGACTTGAGTTGCGAGCCTTGCGACACACTTTGTAAGCCTCATTTGTGCCTTTTGCGTGTAATAGTGCTCCACGTTATCGTGTCAAGCCCGCTCCGCTAGCTAAAGGGAACCTCTTTGTACAATGGTACATCTGTATACATGTGCTGGTGCTTTGGCCGAGTGGTTATGGGCTTGCCTGCGAATCATAACGTCTCGAGTTCGATACAGGTGCTGGCAGCAAGGAGCATAATCATACTGTGCTAATAAATGCTATAAGCATGCACAAACCACACGACATGCATCCATAAACACTACATGCATCCATAAACACTACATGCATCCATAAACACTACATGCATCCATAAACACTACATGCATCCATAAACTCAATGCAGGGCATTAGTTGGATGCACACGGGTGAAGGTGTATGCAGAATGAGCGCACATACTGCATGCATTGCTAGCATACAACAGGAGCAAGCTGCATTCCGTTAAGATTTCAAACGAGTCACGTGGCACGTGAGAGCAGTGGCACAGCGGCATGCAGACACGTTCCACCTACCGATATCTCTCCTTGCCTCTGATCCTTGCAATTTGAAGATGTTAGTCTGTATACAGGCACATTACATGAACTAGACTGAGGGTTAACCAAGAATTGAATTTTGACTCGGATGGTGAGCCAATTAAATTATTGTGAAAAAGGAGAGGTTAATAGTTAGTCATAACTCGTAACATTTCGTTCTTCTCCATTTTCACAAAAATTGAATTTTGCTTCTTTCTTTCTTTCTCGGTTGGAGAAGTAATGTTTCTCCTGGCTCTCCTTCGGGAGAGTGAACGATTTTCATCAAATGGAGTGAAGAAGGGAATGCAGCGAGAGATGAGAGGGCACTGACGGTCAGTGTCACGGAAGTCGTGACTTGCAGGTGTTCGACTGGTTGGTCACCCGGAGCTCCGTCAACGCGGGCATAGAGCTGAAGCGAGCGTGTGGCCGAGGTTGCGCTGACTAGTTGGCGGCGGCTACTACTGAGCCGAGCTCCACCACATGTAAGGCCTCAGTATCAAAACTGCCAAAACTGCCACCACAACACCACAACACCTGCCACCACAACACTGCCACCACAACACCACAACACTGCCACCACAACACCACAACACTGCCACCACAACACTGCCACCACAACACCACAACACTGCCACCACAACACCACAACACCACAACACCACAACACCACAACACTGCCACCACAACACCGGCAACACAACACTGCCACCACAACACCGGCAACACAACACTGCCACCACAACACCGGCAACACAACAGCCGCAGAATGTTGGAATGCTTGAGTCTGCCTTGTTCGTTCTGCCACTAAGTCATGCATTTACTCTTTTCTATCTGAACTTTTTTTTGCAAATGTTCTATACCTGTGCCCACTGCTTTCCTCTTGTTGTGTAGCTTTTGACTTCGTAGTTATCGGCTGTAGTTTATTAGTAGAATTGTTACTCGTATTATGTCTGCGGCTTTCGACACCCTGTATGTCAACACTCTGTACATGTATCATCATTACAGTACAGTACTTTGCAGTTCTCGAGTTGTATTTGTCAAAGTAATCTATAACTGTGACGTTGCACATAACATGCATGCAATCCATAACAGCATCATTACCTGTTTGCTTGGTGAAGTAAAATAATGAATGCCATACCAAGTGGCACTGACCTGTCTTCCTGCATCCGGAGCGTAGATGGTCTCGATATCCACCGAGAACTTCTCCATGAAAGGGCACGTGAACTTGGTACGGCAGTACGGATAGGCGTTCCATGCCTCTTCTTGCACTTGCAATGCCGTCTTGGGCAGAATTCCACGCAACCATGATGGAAGGTGACTACCTGCAATGCAACACCAAGCAGCACAACAGAAGCACCAATCTATTGACACTAAGAATGCCACAGTGTATTCGCTATTTATCAAGGCTTCCCAGCTCGGAACCTCTTCAGGTCGAGGAGTTGGTCTTCGCCATGATTCCTGTTGCCTTGTCTTGTGAAATATTTCTCTGAGCCAAAGGTCACTGAAACAATGATACTGCCTACAACGAAGCAGTTAATGGATAGGACTCTGTCGTAATATCTGGACTCTATTATGCGTACACTACTGTACACTTATGACTGTATGCGTTGCATGCTGTATGTACGTCACACAGGCCGTTTCCCGTAGGCCAGAACTTTGATGTGCTTCACTGGCTCGGGACTTCTCTTGTTTTTGACTTACCTACTGGTTGTGCATTTCTTGCTCCTCATTAGTTTACTCGTCCATGTCTCCTTGTCCCTATTGAGAATAATACTACATGGTGTCAGAATTGGGCTGCTGATAACGATGGCTGGATTTTCTATTCCATCCATGAGATGGCAGTCAGACAACCTCCCGGAGGAATTCGCCTCGTTTAGGCAGTATTGTGAATTGATTTTCGGAGGTCCGTACTCAGCGAAGTCAGCGAAAGAGCAATGCTCATATATCCTCCTTTGGATAGGCCGACCTGGTGTGGACATCTACAATTCCTGGACATTTGCAGACGAAGCTGACCGCTTCAAAGTGGACGAATTACTTTCCCGTTTTCAGGCCCACCTGCAGCCGAAAGTAAACGCGTGGCTGGCCCGTTTCCAGCTTCAACAGCAACGGCAAAATGTGGGGGAAACCACTGACGATTTTCTCTGTCGCTGTCGGAACTTGGCAGTGAAGTGCAAATTTGCCGATGCCGGTGAAGTCAACACCCGTTTGCTAGAGCAGCTGATTGTCGGCACCCGACATAAAACGGTACAGGAGAAGCTGTTGGAGAAGGGCGACCAGTTGTCGTCTCTTGACGAAGGGCTGGAAGTTGCGAGGACACATGAAGCTACAGCTACCCAGATGGCTCAGCTAACCGGGTCTCGCTCCGCCAGTGTTAGCCCTGCTGACGTATCCTTTGTTAAAAAGTCTGCTCCGAAGAGATCCAAGGATTTCAAGAAAAAACAACAAAAAAAGAGTTGTCAATTCTGTGGGAAGGAAGACCATGATCGTGCAGTATGCCCAGCTCGATCAGCTGAGTGTAATTTCTGTAAGAAACAAGGGCACTTTGCTACTGTGTGCCAGAAGAAGCAACGATCCTGTGACGCTGTACATACTGTACCGCCAGATGCGCATGCCCCTGGCATGTTTCTCGGCAGCGTCGATGCCGGACGTGACCCTTGGTCTGTGTCGGTGGAAGTCAACAATTCCCCAGTCATGATGAAGATCGACACCGGAGCCGATGTCTCTGTAATTCCAGCAAGTGTATTCCGCCTGTTAGATGCGCAGGCCCTGCGACCCAGTCGTCGTACCCTGATGTCTGCTAACTCAAGCGTCCTCGACGTAGCTGGCGTGTTCGACGCAGTGGTAACACATGCGGGCAAGTCGTCTCGCCAAGAGATTTTCGTTGCCAACAACCTCAAGCAGGCCCTCCTAGGACGCCCTGCAATAGTCGCCTTGGACCTCCTGGACGTCAAGGCTGACATCTCTGAAGTATCGAGCGGTATTCGCGACACCGCGACAGCACGAGCTGCATACCCCGATTTGTTCAAACCTCTCGGCAGGTTCACTGGAGAGCCTCACTGCATTCGCCTCGAAGAAGGCGCCAAACCATTTGCTCTGTCCTGCCCGCGCGACAATGTGGCAATACCGCTAATGCCGATTGTTAAAGCGGAGCTTGAGAAGATGGAAAAGCAAGGCGTCATCGTCCCTGTCGACGAACCAACTGATTGGTGTGCTGGCCTTGTTGTTGTCGCCAAACCTGGAGGGGAGGCAGTCCGTCTGTGCGTTGACTACACACGTCTCAACCAACACGTTCGTCGTGAGCAGTTCGTCTTGCCGGCGGTAGACCACACGCTGGGTCAGTTGGGCGGTGCCAAGTATTTCACAAAGCTTGACGCCAACTCTGGGTTTTACCAAGTGCCCTTGGCCAAGGAATCCCAGAAGTTGACCACATTTATCACCCCGTTTGGGCGTTTCATGTTCACGCGTCTACCATTCGGTATTTGTTCGGCTCCCGAACATTTTCAGAAACGAATGGCTCGGATCTTGAACGGTGTGGTTGGTACCGCATGTCAGATGGACGACGCTCTAGTGTTCGGTAGCACTGAAGAGGAACATGATAACCGGCTGCACCAGGTGCTACAACGGCTCAGCGACAACGGCGTCACACTCAACCCTGACAAGTGTCTCTTCAAAGTCACTTCTGCCAAGTTCTTGGGTCATATCATCGACCAAGACGGCATCCACTCTGATCCCCAGAAGGTGCAGGGTATTCAAGACTTCACGCCATGCCAGGATGTCGCGGATGTGAGAAGCTTTCTCGGCCTCGTCAACCAGCTTGGCAAGTTCTCTCCCTCACTTGCTTCCGTCTCACAGCCGATCCGCGACCTTCTCAAGAAAGGCAATGCCTGGTCCTGGGGACCCCCTCAGCAATCGGCATTTGAAGAGATTAAGGCTCTTCTGTCGTGTACGCCTGTTCTTGCTCTGTACTCTCCCGAGTACCCAACTATTGTCTCTGCAGACGCCTCGAGCTATGGTCTCGGTGCCGTTATCAAGCAGCAACAGCCGTCCGGCGATTGGAAACCCGTATCGTTCCAGTCTCGTGCACTACTGCCGGCAGAGCGTCGCTATGCTCAAATAGAAAAGGAAGCTCTTGGCCTCACCTGGGCTTGCAACCGATTCTCTGATTACCTCATCGGTAAGAGATTCACGCTGGAAACAGATCACAAGCCTCTGGTGCCCCTGTTCAGCACCAGTGCTCTCGACTCTATCCCTCCACGTGTACTCCGGTTCCGGCTCAACCTGATGCGATTTGATTTCGACATCGTACACATCCCTGGCAAAGATCTAATCGTTGCTGATGCCTTATCTAGGTCACCTGCGTCGCGTCCTCTGTCCGCTGATGACGTCCGCCTCCTCGACGACGCAGAAGCTTTTCTCGACAGTGTGGTTTCTCATCTCCCTGCGTCCGATGCAAGACTGAGTGAGATTCAACACCAGCAGGCTCAAGACCCAGTGTGTCAACATCTTGTGCAGTACACTCTGTCCGGTTGGCCAAGTTTACAGTCTGCTCCAGTGTCCGTTAAGCCCTACTACGCATCCCGGCAGTCATTCTGTATCACAGATGGCCTGCTCCTGTACGGTTCCAGAATCGTCATCCCGGACCAGCTCCGTCCAGAAGTCCTCCAGCAGCTCCATGCTGGTCACCTCGGCATCACGAAGACCCGCGAAAGGGCTCGCCAGTCAGTTTGGTGGCCAGGTCTAAGCGCCCAGTTGGCTGATATCGTGTCCAATTGCCAAGCCTGCGCTCGTGACAAGCCAACGCCAATGGAGCCCCTGCTGTCCTCACGTCTTCCCGAGTTCCCGTGGCAGGAAGTCGCTGCCGATTTCATGCAGTTCCAAGGCTCTCAGTACCTAGTTGTCGTCGACTACTACTCCCGATGGATCGAGCTTGCTCAGATGTCCCGTACTTCTGCAGCTTCTCTCATCACGCAACTGAAGTCCATGTTTGCGCGTCACGGCAATCCAGATGTGTTTGTTTCGGACAATGGTCCCCCATTCACAAGTGCAGAGGTTTCAGCATGGCTTCAAGAGCAAGGAACCACCCAGCGCACGAGCAGCCCTCTTCATCCGCAAGGCAACGGCTTAGTGGAACGCGCAGTGCAGACCCTAAAGCATTTGCTGGTGAGGGGAGGTGATCCGTATGTTGCTCTGCAGAGCTATCGTGCCAGTCCACTAGCACATGGCTTCAGTCCTGCGGAGCTCCTCATGGGCCGCCGCATCCAGACGCGTTTACCCATGTCGGCAGACGTTCGACGGCCATACCTCGTAGATCGCACAGCGTTTGCCGCTAAAGACGCCTCTCTGAAGTCCCGGCAAGCGTCGGATTTCAACTCCCGCCATCGCGCTCTCGATGCTACGCCACTGGTCCCGGGTACCGCTGTCTTTGTTCCGGATAGGAAAGAGCCTGGTATTGTCACTGCCGAGCATTCCACCAGGTCGCTTATCGTGGAGACGCCATCCGGTTCGGTTCTCCGCCGCAACCGCAGTGACCTCATCGTCGATCCGCCTGCAGGTTCTGCTAACGACGCTGTGGACAATGGTGAGCCAGCGTCACCTGCCCAACGTCCATCTCCAGGTACTCCCGTCCCTGAGCGTTCCGGTAGAGTTACCCGTTCTGGACGTGCCGTTCATACTCCTATCAGATTCCGTTAATCATTTAGCGTTACTCTTTCGTCTTCAGCATTATTCCTGTTTTGCTAACTTATCGCTCTCTTGCTGCGCGCCCTGAAAGGGGAGATGTCGTAATATCTGGACTCTATTATGCGTACACTACTGTACACTTATGACTGTATGCGTTGCATGCTGTATGTACGTCACACAGGCCGTTTCCCGTAGGCCAGAACTTTGATGTGCTTCACTGGCTCGGGACTTCTCTTGTTTTTGACTTACCTACTGGTTGTGCATTTCTTGCTCCTCATTAGTTTACTCGTCCATGTCTCCTTGTCCCTATTGAGAATAATACTACAGACTCCATTCTGCCAAAAGCTGCAAGTTCTCTCACAGTGGTGGGTGGCAGGGAACCACTAAATTGGCAGCTCCCACATCATAAAGATGCCAGAGAGGAGTAGGGGTAACGAGCAAAACGTGAATTCGACGCGTGACACGCAAAGCTGTAAATTCTCACCGTGTCAAGACTAAATGTAGCTGCAGCAAACAAGTGTATGCATGCCGGGTGAGAAGATACAGTCATATGGTGTATTCAACGGATTTTTAACAAGCCTGGCTTCTACAGTGAATACATTTCCCTTGCAGCACTATACTTCGAAGTATTAGTATTGTCACCCACACAAAACCACTCCGGTGGCACATTGTAACCCACTAGGTGTGGGTATTACATAAACTTACATTTTCGCGTACAAGTACATGCACGTGTGGCTGTTCCACAGATCCCATACTAGGGACCTTTCGCATTTGCTACGAATCGAATGCGAAACGAAAGTTTGATTCGGCTCGTAATCGTTTCGTTGAAAACAGAATTCAGGTTTCGGAAGTCGTAATGCAAATGTGCATGGCAACTACGAATACGGCCGGTAGCTTGGCGTACGGGTGTGTTCGCGCACACGTGCATGGATCATGGAATCAAGGGAAAAAATGTGTACCTGGCAAAACATGTGTACCTTGCAAAAATATGTGTACCTGACGGATTCGGAGCGTGCCACGAATGAAGAGGCTTCCATTCGTGAAAACGAGCTCTCCGCGGCGACTCTGACGAATCATCGAACCCAGGTGACGAATCAGCATTCGTTTCGTATCCGTACGCGTGGTGCGAAAGGTCCCTACTACCTAATTCGGGTAACTACAGGACTGTCGGGGGCCGGAGAACTGGGGGTCAGGGTTCTAGCCTAGCCCGTTCTTATTTTTAGCAAACACAGCAGTTTCGTTCTTATTCGATGGTACCATACAGTCTTACATGTACATTTATGCAGAGTTACACGTCTGAGTGTACATTATAGTGTACATTACGATTTCCGTTCTTATCTGCAAAAATCCAGCCTAGACCGTTCTTAAAAATTGGTGAAATTCTAGCCTGGCCGTTCTTCGGCGCCCGACAGTGCTATAGGGGATATATGCACAGCAAGGTCTAATGGATACTATCACACGTGTTCCCAGCCTATAACGGGGCAAATTCAGGAGGCTACCTTCCCCGGCACAAAGTCATCCATTGTGCGTGGTCAGTATCTAGCGCTGGAGTCACACATCATACAGGATTACAGCGGCGTAGTCACACAGCGATGTAGGCATCGGCGGACAACAACTCACCAACATGATAGATCTTGTGCGTGTACTGACCAGACCCACCGGGACCATCCTTGTAGGGCTCGTTGACCAGGATCTCCACGCGGCTATCTGTTCCGTTACTTTCGTCGCGGCTCTTCTTCTGCACTCGGTGAACACCACAGAGGACACACACAACGCAGCGCAAGCCACACAGCACACACCACACAGCACGCACAGAACACACATTACGCAGCCCATACCACACAGCACACATCATGCAGCACACACAACAGAGCAAAACGCCACGCACAGCACACATCACGCAGCACACACAACAGAGCAAAACGCCACACACCGCACACCAAAGAGCAGGTCTTTGTTTGCATCAGCCACTAGTATACCGAGCTCCATAAAGTCTTTACTCATGCACGCACACCGTTCATTGCAGCCTGCTCTACGGCAGCCACATCATTCTTCTGAAGTAAGAGAAAAAGAGACTGAAATGTGCTATGCAACCTCACAGTCACTGAGACGGGCGTGCCGGCACCTCTGCAGTTTGTTACGTCATTTCGTAAGGGGCCGTCCATAATATTATCGATCTCTTACACGAAGAGAAAAAGTTTCCCTGATGGGTGGGTGGGTCAAGGGGAGTTTCGTTTTGAAAAATATTGATATGTGAGACATCAAGGCAATCTTTCTGTCAAGTCAATCGTTTTTTCGTTCAGGGGGATGGGTGGGTGGGGGAGCGTCCAGGGTTTTAGCCAAAGGGGGTAGGGGGGCGCAGCGCCCCCCTACTCCGTTTGCGCGCCCCCCTGTGAAAAAGTGCCGCCCCCTACTCATTTTCCGATTTTTGTGTTTTTTCACGCCATTCAACGAAAATACAGTCGATAGTCACTACTAGAGGGTTCATAAAGGCACATTTGTGAAGGGTGAAGTCGGGGTTCACCCTGTATGTTGCATTTTGCATGGCAAGACAATTTTGGACAATGGAAAAAATGGGTCACGGGGTAACTTTTTCCCATGCCCGCCCCCCTACTATATTGACCTGGCTAGAACCCTGGGAGGGTCCTAACTAAACTTGTTCATTTCAAGAAAATTATCGATAATGCCGGATGGCCCCTATTACAAACAGAGGATAGCTTCTCATTTCATTCCGCCCGCCACTGAGAAGCACCGCTGCACAAGCAAGTACTGAAGTGTGTCCATTTCAATAATTCCCAGGAAAATAGTTTATGAGGACATGTGCCAAGGCTTGACCAAAAGGCGTAACGGTAAGCCATTCCTTGGTACTGACTGCTCTAGGATACAGTGTAAAATCTGCAATGCCAAAATTAATGAGAAACGTTTTAATTTCCAAATATGCATCCAGAGTTGCACATTCTTGGGAGCTTACTCTTGTGCTGTGTATCATCATATTGAGGTTTAGCAGTCATGCATCGCTAAACGTACGGTGCACTACCATGGATATGACTATGTGATACGACTTCGTTCAACAACTTGCCCATCCACAAGCACTACAATGTGGCATGTAGTTTCAAGCTATGTGTGACGCTGCATGCACTTGACAGTGATGGAAACCAGCAGTTGCGTATTGTGTGCACAGTGCAGCAACATGTGTTGCGCAATGTCTTCCACAAGCAACGCATCATTCAAGATGGCAGATTACGTTACAGGGTGCACCGCCCATCTCCCTGCAGGAAAGCGGAATGGTGCATTGCGCTTCTGAACGTTTGCTAACCGAACAGCAAGTGACCGACAAGTGAATGCCTGCATGATGCACACCATCATCATTACCATGACGACCCACATTGAAGCCTGTGCGTGTATACACGAATTTGGGCTATGTTTGAAATTTCCGAAGGCCAGTTGGTCTCACATACATTGTTCAGGTGCATGCGCTTGTAATTGAGTTACCAGTATGTAATGTGGAGATGGTATCTTGTAATTGAGTTACCAGTATGTAATGTGGAGATGGTATCTTGTAATTGAGTTACCAGTATGTAATGTGGAGATGGTATCTTGTAATTGAGTTACCAGTATGTAATGTGGAGATGGTATCTTGTAATTGAGTTACCAGTATGTAATGTGGAGATGGTATCTTGTAATTGAGTTACCAGTATGTAATGTGGAGATGGTATCTTGTAATTGAGTTACCAGTATGTAATGTGGAGATGGTATCTTGTAATTGAGTTACCAGTATGTAATGTGGAGATGGTATCTTGTAATTGAGTTACCAGTACGTAATGTGGAGATGGTATCTTGTAATTGAGTTACCAGTATGTAATGTGGAGATGGTATCTTGTAATTGAGTTACCAGTATGTAATGTGGAGATGGTATCTTGTAATTGAGTTACCAGTATGTAATGTGGAGATGGTATCTTGTAATTGAGTTACCAGTATGTAATGTGGAGATGGTATCTTGTAATTGAGTTACCAGTATGTAATGTGGAGATGGTATCTTGTAATCGAGTTACCAGTATGTAATGTGGAGATGGTATCTTGTAATTGAGTTACCAGTATGTATTGTGGAGATGGTATCTTGTAATTGAGTTACCAGTATGTAATGTGGAGATGGTATCTTGTAATTGAGTTACCAGTATGTAATGTGGAGATGGTATCTTGTAATCGAGTTACCAGTATGTAATGTGGAGATGGTATCTTGTAATTGAGTTACCAGTATGTATTGTGGAGATGGTATCTTGTAATCGAGTTACCAGTATGTAATGTGAAGATGGTATCTTGTAATTGAGTTACCAGTATGTAATGTGGAGATGGTATCTTGTAATTGAGTTACCAGTATGTAATGTGGAGATGGTATCTTGTAATTGAGTTACCAGTATGTAATGTGGAGATGGTATCTTGTAATTGAGTTACCAGTATGTAATGTGGAGATGGTATCTTGTAATCGAGTTACCAGTATGTAATGTGGAGATGGTATCTTGTAATTGAGTTACCAGTATGTAATGTGGAGATGGTATCTTGTAATCGAGTTACCAGTATGTAATGTGGAGATGGTATCTTGTAATTGAGTTACCAGTATGTAATGTGGAGATGGTATCGTGGTGGTGCCAGCGTGTCGCAGGATTGGGTTCACTTTTATACGACATAATTATGTTCTGAAGTTGGTTGTTCCAACGAGGAACACACGCTTCCTGCCAAACTTGACGATTGACTAGTCAGTGAAGTGTCAAGTTTGGCAGGAAGCGTGTATTCCTCGTTGGAACAACCAACTTCATGACTAAAACCCGCCGAAGTACGTTATAAGCTTATGCGCTTTTATGTGAGGGCGTGCTGATACCCGGATATAGGCACATGCGCGGCTTCATTGCGAGACACTACGGTACATATACTAGTACCTTTGCTGAATCAGCGCGACAGTCGAGTCGCGCGCCCAAGAACGTCGTTTCCAAGAGGTCAGGCTGGGACGTCCTTATCTTTGAGCAAACTGGCTGTGTTCGTATCACTTTCTTAGAAACAAATCGTATCGGATTACACGCACACACTATCATATCCATGTATTTCGCAAAAGCTGCCAGAAAACAATTCGTACTGGATCATTATCTATCCCAACAGCTGCCGGAAAACCAACACCGACGTTCTTAAATTTAGGCTGTGGCGTTCTAAGTAATCGCGGCCGGGCTTTCTTGAGCTCCACGTTCTTCAGTGCGCGGCTCTACTGTAGCATTAGCAGCTGCCACCCGTTCGCTAAGCAATTACTTCACAGTTCACACTACTGTGCACTTCCAATTACAGAAATCTGTATGTATTCAGGGGCGTAGGAGGGGTTTCGGAAGTAGTACGATCGAAGGTCGGCGCGGCCGAAGGCCGTTTTGGAGGGGGTCCGGGGGAGCGGCCCCGGAATTTTTTTGTAAAAAAGACACAAAATCCTGCGTTCTGGGAACTTCTGGCACACTTCTGGCACAGTTTATAAAGTCATAGAATTATTTCACGGTCAGAAGAGACGTGCATGGACATGCACAGATGCATGGCAGATCTACGAGTACGAGTCTAGAAAAAGGTCAAAGTCTGATGCACATATGCATCGATGGATCCTGATTTTTTTATTACGGTTTTGCACGTTCCGGACGGACCACACTTTTCAAAAAGTGGTACGGCCATGGTCGTACCAGCCGTAGCGGGTGCTACGCCCCTGGTATTTGTGTGCTTGTTGGTGAACTGTGCGCTATTCAAGTATCGTTGTATTATTCACTTCCTCTGATCTGATCCTCGCACAAGCGATGGCATGTATATGTATATGTACGGACATTGACATCGCTCGCATCAGCTTGCTCTCAGCTTGCTCTTACGTACCTGTATCATGTAAAGCTGAGCTATCCTGTACTCGTCCACCGACAGCGGCATGGGTATGCGGTATTCCTTGATCAGCATCGTCAACACAGTGAATATCGGCCTGCTGCTGTAGCGTGACGGTGATCTGCTGCTGCTGCTGCTTATGAAAATGCACTTGCGCTATGCAAGCCTCCGACTGGAGCCTAGCAGAGAGGGCACCTCTCACTTCTCAGCCGACTACAGGCGAGAGGGTGCGCTTGGACGCGAAAAGCATCACTAGAAAATAATAGCTGCAACAAGCTCTCACTTCAACTAAGTTCAAGTTCTACCACTCCTGCGCTGTCAGTGTTGAAATTGTCCCAGACAAGCTACACCACTGGACTTGTGGCTGCACACAATTTTTATTTCTGCGATTCTACTTCTGTATCTGATGGGTGCAGCCACTACTGCAGCGGGCGCGGTGATGTCCGATAATAGCGTACTGTCAATCCACTGAAACGACCGCTCACCTAGACCAGCTGGTTTGTTCGCAGAAACAGCAAAGACCGAAATGGCACGGACATTATCCCAAGCAAAATAATTGACACTACAAGCGATGATAATTTTCCCGGGCGGAAATGTAGGCGTGCAGCTGCACTGAGCTGACTATGCATGTGCGCAGAGTGTATCCGGGGTGTACTGCGGCCTAGTCTCCAACATGCAACTGTGGACTACCGCGCCTACAGTGCAGGCTACAAGTACAAGGCGATTACCATGATCACTGTACTAGTAGTAGGCACTTCAGTCACGTGACAAGACCTGTCAAATTTGCTTGTGGCTCAATGTAGCTGAACCATCGGACCTTATTTGTCAGCTTGGATCACGTGATCCATCCAGCTGCCGCGTGCGGCAAACAGCCCAAATAGCGCTAACTCTGGCCCGCGAGCGTTTGCTGCGACTAGCGCGCTAGCGCTTGTGACATACACAAACGCGCTAGCCAGAATGCTTTGACTTTGATGGCTTTCAGCTTCTATTTTTTGAAAAGTAGCGCGCTCAGACCAGCTCGCTCACTCTTTTCCTCTTCCATTTTTTAGGGCAATTGTTTTGTTTGATAGACGAAGCTTAGGGTCTCTTTGGGTTTGCAACCCTTACCCTCCTGGAAAAAATCATAGTTGTGCTAGACTGCGACACTTCAGACCAGGTACTATTAGAGCCGCTAATGGACGACGAGCTATTTTCCGCTATCCGGAGCTCAAGCATTTGAGCCGCTAAATGGACGAGACTCCTGAGGTAAAGGATGCAGAGAATGAGGAGAGAACACTCGTATGGAGCAGGGAGTAGGTAGTGTACTACTTCCTGGTATGGAGCACTGAGAAGCGGTAAGTCTTAGGGCAATTCTTAGCCAGTAATTACTTTCTCGCCATAATTATGTTCTCGTTTTTCGTGTCTTCTGTAATGCCAGTACACTAGCAGTACGACTACACTGTAGGCGAGAGTCCATAAGCCAGAGTGTGCAGCTCTCCATCTATGCAGCATAAACAAATTAATGACAAATTTCCTTTGCCTAGGGGCTGGGTTCCACTGCCGCTCCGCCGCACATCATCCACGGCATGAAACGTCATCATTACGAGCTGGTCCAGCGAGGCCGCGGCTCATCACCAGCTTTCGCTTCGCTGCTTGATACAAAAAAATGCAAGCCGCGGTCACGGCTTGCATTGTTTCCCGCACTTAATTGTTTTATTCGTGGGAATTTTAATTCGTTGCACAGGCCAGAACACGAGGATTTTTTTTGGATTTCACGCGCGCGCAGGCAGGCTAAATGTCATAAAAAAAAACGTCGAGCACGATCTCGGTACCGTGAATGGCGAGTGTCACTGGAACCGCGCCGCTCTGCTGCATGCAGCCAAGTACCGTGGAGCAGCGGAGCTGCGGAGCCGCAGTGGAACCCGGCCCTAACCAAACTTATAGCAATTTGAAAATGTTTGACAATTTTTCATAAAAAACTTGACAACATTGTTCTTCTGTAGAGTGCCGCTGGCAACTCCATCGATGAACTCCATCAATGAGCGCAGGGATAAAGTTTAGAAACCCTTCGAGCGAGAACGTGTTTTCAAAAAGGAAGCACAAATATGCCGCGTAACTTCCCCTCTAGTACTGTATGGCCCCATCAAAGCCACTCGCTGACTACTTACCAGTAAAATGGGGTTGGACGGTTGTCAGATTAGCTGACATGTTTTCTGCCAACACAACCATAAGCAGTTGTCAACTCTCAAGACTAAAAGAGCTTGCGAAGAAAGTGAGAAACCTTGGCTATGAAAGCACATGAAGCGTCAGAACATAATCGAGCAAACTTGGACCTAGATTACCAGTGTCTGCTCCAGAGCCGGGTCAGTGGCCCTGTTTGTGAGTACTTGGACCTTTTGGAAAAAGAACACTGGGTTACCTGAGACCCGGTCGGAAGTCCTGTCGAGTACTATACTTTTTTATACCGTTCGAGGGTATACCGCCACTGACAGGCTGCATACGCGTGCAGATGCGTGCGGCCAGAGTGCCCAGTGCGAGTACGTTCATACATGTACATGTACAATCATGTACATCAGGAAGTCGAAAGTAAGTTTACGACTCCCTGACACACAGTAGCCGCACTTGAACGCATCTGGCTCTGGCCCAGTGTTGCAGGAATTGTGCCAGGTAGACGTGTACCCGGTTTGTGTTAAATCTTAGAGCAGGTACTGCATACCCTATCATATCTGTGTACATGGGTAGACAGAGTCAGTGTTGTTGCGTCCCACTCAGTACGTACCCTTCTGGTTCATTTCGGCACCAGCACTCTTTGCGTATGCAGAGTTGAGTAGAGTGCAAGTTCGGACCACAAGTACACTGCAGCGGCTAGTAGCAAACCTAACCTGTGCCGTGATGCCCGGCACGTGTGTGCATCTACTTCATCCCTGAGTAACACCCCTGGTATATTGTGCACAATAGGGCACAGTAAATAATCAGCATGCATCGCAGTTTTCTGCAACATATTCCTGAAGTCACTTTACACCTCAGAAGAATTGCGTCGCTGACTGGAATTCGATACCGGTTTAGTTTCTCTCTGGGTCATTATCAATCATAGAAAACCCGTCATACAATAGGTTCAAGCTAAAGTACCGTATCACCATGGTAATTCCTGGAAATTCGGTGTGTTTTCTGCCTTTTGTTAAACAAGCAGCAATGTGCAACAGAAATTACCATGGTGATAGAGTAGATGACCGTGTGAAGCGGTGTGAGATGCAGCAAAGGTGAGCTTGTTACTGTGAGTCTATGCCCTAAACAATAAACTTTGCCGTGGGATGATTATCCTTGGGCTGCACACTCTGCACACTTATTGCTAGGTATATCATTGGTCTTGTTCGAATCGTCCATTACGTTTGCAGCTGTTCAAACTTGTTTTGTTGTTTATTATTTTATTGATTTATTTATTCTACTTGCCTTTCCTATCTTCTTGTGTTTAGCATTAGGCGATTTGATCGCAGGACAAGAGAGGAGCTGATGGACGATCTCTCCAGTGTCCCTCTTGGTTCGGAGCAGCGCCGAGTGCTGACGTTGGGACTTGGGTAAGGATGAGTGTTCCCTCATGTTTACAAGTTATCCGTTTTGTCCAACACTAACGGTTATATGCAGAATACTGCTGAGTCAAAAATGTGCAACAATTAGCACAAAAACTGACTGATGAGATCATGACATTCAACGACCTGATGCTTAGCTGCATCACGTTTATATCCGTCAGTGTTGGACAAAACGGATAACTCGTAAACTGATGGTCCTCTTTTTCAATTTTAATCCTTGGCTCTCCATCCGAGTTCCCTCGTGTGTGTAGCTATTATTATTTTTTTGGTGACAGTCAATTTTTTCTTCAGACTTTTCCCGTTTGTGTCTTTCCCTCAAACTAGTCAATATTTTTATTTACTTATTTTTTTGCCCAGGGTCTACATTCTACCTTTATTTTACTTAGACTAGGGTTAGCTGTCCGTTTACCAGTACTCATCCACACATATGTGCACATAGGATCTACACAGAACTCTATCAGTAGATATTTTGTGTATAGGAGGTTGTCTATCCACCGAGATAGCACTATATACTCCCATTCTGTGTGTTCTCTGGTAGCTATGTCCCTTGGAGACTATACGGTGCCAGTGTGGTGACCGAGATCAGGCGTGTCTGCACTGGCATCGTCAACTTTGCCTACTGCTACGTGCTCCCCAGTGCTCCATCTGTGTCCTGTAATTTGTTTGGGAAGGGGGGGGGGGGGGGGCAATACCGGTACTTCAGGTGCAGGGGGCAAGGGGGGAATGGGGTGGGGGGACATCATGCCCCCAATGAACCTCTCCAGGCGTTGTTCTGGAGTAGACTAACCATAGGCGGAGTGTACACATGCAGCACATAGTTTGGGAGCTAGAACGCAATCGGACTCAGGCATATTCAAAGGCAGTCTATTGTGATAGTAGTCCTGGACTGATCTCACTATGATGATATAGGTCGTGCCCAGCATCACAATGCCAAACATTATAAATGACTGTTTTTTTTTGCCTGAGGGGCTAGATGAGCATGCGGCTAGACTGCCGATGGCAACCAACAGGCTCAAGGCTGTGTTGAGACTTCGTGTGAGCGACCCGAGTCAATTGTGTACTCACCATGACTAGGCATCGCATTGAGCATCGTATGCCCACTAATATAATATATTATGTCACTGTTCTTACTCGCACCGGGGGCGCATGCCCGTTTTCAGGAGACTTCTCAAAACACATAAGCCCTGGGTCCTGAAGGTTAGGCCTATTGTTAATCTAAATAGTCCTGGCTACTATCCCGCTGAGTTCACTGACTTTCTACTGAACCCGTATGTATGTGAGGAAAGTACTGTTCTGACCTCAACTGCGGATTTCATCAACTTGGTAGAAGGTTTGCCTGTGCGGGACGATCATTTATAATTGAGCATAGATGTGACCAGCCTTTACTACACCAACATCCCCAACGAGCTCGGTTGTCGTGGTATATCACACACAGGTGTACAAGGTGGATGCCCCTCGCCCTTCGTACATGGTTATTAACAGCAGTGACTTCCTTGATGTCAGTCATTCGGAAGAAAAATGAGTTCGTGTATGGTAACGATGTGTTTCGGCAGATCCAAGGGACTGCCATGGGTTCGCCTGCAGCAGTGGTCTATGCCGACATTGTTATGCTGTATTTGGAGAAGCAGTACGTTTTGCCGATCTTAGAGGGGGAGGGTTTAGAGGTTCAGGTTTATAGACGCTTTATCATTGCATGGTTGCGAAGGTCAAGCTCAGCGCACTTTAGATAGGATTAATAAGTGTTCGGCCCTCAAGTTTTCTCATGAACTGGCACATGATGGCATTGATTTCCTGGACACCACAGTTTTCCGTAGTAAGGGATACATGGCGGTGAAGCCTCAGTTCAAGTTCACCAATCGTTTCCTGTATCTGCTTGTCAGTAGTAACCACCCCTGTAGTATGGGCAAAGGTGTGTTCACTGGGGAGTTGATCCGTATCCGTCGGTCTTCGACCCTTGACCACCACTACGAAGCTGCTGCCGAGCGGCCGAAGCAGGCTTTCCAGGCCCGTGTATACAAGCGCTCCATCTTTCATCTTTCAGACCCGTACACTAGGAATGGATGCGCAGGGAAGGTATGTTGGTCAAATTGGCATGGGTTTGGGTTATTTTTGTAGTTGTATACAGTGCTCCTCATTGTATTTACCTGGGCCCGGCCTGCTGTCCTTCGCCCGTTGGTCTTGAGGTCCAGGTGTAATACCCCTACCATACAGTCCGGTGGCCAGCGCGGTTGTTGTTACACGGTGGAACATCGGCAAGAGGTTGCTTGCTCGTTTGCCTCATGCTCAGTGTCCTCAGGGAGTTAGTATTTTCCTCCTGTTTGGATTTTGCAGTGTCTATGGTGTCGGTAATTGAGTTTTTGTTCTGTATGCTTTTCTGTGGTGTGTGGCTGTTGTTCACACATCTTTATTTGACTTGCTTCCTGGTGTGGTGTACCTTTTTGTTTTATATTGGTGTTGGTCTGGCTGTAGAGTTCTAGCATCCGTAGCTGCCTCGGGGGGGGGGGGGGGGGGGGGGGGGGGTGCCACTTCTCCCATCAGCGTCGACTAGTCCGCCGGTACGTGGTGATTACGTTTAGTTGTCTGTTCCATCCTGTACGGGCTGTGTCCTGCTGACCACACAGTCTGGGTCTCCATACTTTGCATGTTCTCATCGTGTGTAGTGTTCACACGTACATATATGGACTGTCACACCCATATGTTGTACATGTGGCTGCACGTGTTGTCTCTTTGTCGTACCTGCTGCTGTATTTGTGTTTCTGTGATGCTGACCCGTACATGCTGCTGCGCTGCTTTGTTGTATTGCTGACACGTGCACCTTTTTGTGCTGATATGATATCGAGTACGCCACTTTTTGTGCTGATGAGGGCACCACTTTCCGATATCATGTTTCCTTTCGCCATGTCAGTTGTCAGTTCTCCCGTCGTCTCCTGAAGTGTAGTAATGAATAGCTCTCTCTCTAGCTCTAGAGAAAAACCACTTGACTAGTCCGTTTGATGTGTGGCGTGGCGAGGGTATAGTAGAGGCAGCTCGTTCTCCAACCGAGACGACATTTGGCGCCCAACGTGGGGCTCAAACCCACGACCCTGAGATTAAGAGTTTCATGCTCTACCGACACATATATGCACGTGGCACCGTTTGTGCTCCTATCCATTTACATATGCTGCTTTCCACACCTGTGCTGACAGTCGGTACGCACCGACTCTGTACGCATGCACGCACACCATTACATTCTGTTGGCATCATATTAGTGAGGTTTTGCATTCCAAAATTCGGCAAAAGATTCGGCACGCGGGAGCGAGGTCGAAAATGCACACGAAGATGCGGCATGTTTGTTCGGAAAAAGCTCACTTTGCCGAACATATTTTTCGGATGAATTTTCTTGTGGAAGAGCGCTAGCGCGTGATTTATTCAAAGAGGTTTCTTATCTTGGCATGGCTTCGCAGGCGTCTTTGACGACATCAGCATCGTCAGCTACCTCTGATTGCTCCTCTCCACTGCCTGTCTACTCTCTTTCGCCTGGAGTGTCCTCACCGTCATCTGTGTGGCTGAAAAGACTATGGCGATACCCATAAAATTTGACTTGGCCATGGAGTTGGTTTTTCTGAGGCGACTGAGGAGGCAGGTTTGGCCCTCGACTCTTTGAGCGCGATCAAAGTTTGTCGGAATCAGCAAGAAAAGGAGCACGGGACAGGACATTGCTGATGCTGGGGCTCACGAAATCAAAACACATCATTTTCGACTTGCAAAACAAACGTCGGTGCGAAAATTCGACATTTTGATGTTCGACAAATTACCAAAGAACGCCAAGCCGAAATTCGGAATGCAAAGCCTCACTATTGCGGAGCTTTCCGGAGCTCCGAGTTAGTTGTTGTTTGGAATACAGCAAGAGAACAACATTACATTGGCGCTGCGAGCAAACGCCTGATCCTCGCCATGTCCCTACTGTCACTACCGCCTCCGGAGCCATTCCCGATCTACAGCAGTCTCTACGATGCTGCTGCCCATTTTCCTGCCTGGGAACGGTGTTTCCAACTCTATGTCGCAGCAGCCGGCATCTCGGATGACACTCGCCAGAGAGACACTTTCCAGTATGTGGCCGGCAAGGACATCCAGCAGCTCGTCCCTACGTTAGCCAACACTGGCAACGATCTCGACGGCCTCATAACCGCCGCCGCCGACTACTTTCAGTCGAAGCAGAGCCCCAGCATGGCCCGCTTCCACTTCCGGCAGGTCACCCAGCAGCCTGGCGAAACATTAGACACGTTTTATACTCGTTTGCTGGCATTGGCAACGACCTGCAGCTTCGCCGACGATGCCCAGAAGAACGTGGCTCTCTGTGATCAAATTGTGGCAGGATGCACGTCCGATCCACTCCGCAGAAAACTGCTGGAGACTGGGTCCCTTGATCTCGCCAAGGCGCTCAAGGCCGCCAGAGCATTTGAAGCGTCAGTGGAACAGACGACGGCGTTCCGGCGCACACAAGACTCGATCAATGCCCTCCGTCATCAGCCACCGTTCTACAAAAGGACACAGCCGCCTCCTGCTACTGTTTCAACTCCGTCGCGTCGACCGATGCAGTCTTCGCCACATCCAGCTGCAAACTCGTACCACCAGCCACCTGCCCCAGTCGCCACTCGCGCTCCAGGCCGGCGGGAATCCAGCACATCGCTCTGCTACCGCTGTGGAGAGCCAGGCCACCCTGAGTCACGTCGCTACGCAGTTTTGCACTGTAAACGTCTGCCCATGGGCGTATCGTCCGCATCCGAGATCCTACAGCGCACACTGGACGCCATGGCTCGCTGGCCTCGACGGTGTGAAGAACGTCCACGACAACATCTTCAACTTTGGTAAGAGCGTCGAAGAGCACAACCGACGACTCGCCGCCTGCCTCCAGCGGCTCCAAGATCACAACGTTACACTCAACCGAGCCAAATGTCACAAATGTCACACCCTCAAGCCTCGGCTCAAGTTCATGGCTAGCGTCTACTCCGACAAGGGCATCCGCGCCTCTCCCAGCCACCAGCAGTCTGTGGCTACATTCTCTACGCCATCTTGCGTCAGCGACATACAGAGTTTCCTGGGTCTCACCAACTTCCTCCGCCGTTACATTCGTAACATGGCCGATCTCACCACGCCACTCCCTGCTCTCACTAAGAAAGGTACTGTTTGGCGTTGAACTGATGTTGAGCAGCAATCATTTGATGCACTGAAGAAGGCCATCGCCGAAGACTGCATGCTGCAATACTTTGACCGCAACACATCACTGTATGTCGACGCACCGGCCTCGGCGCAATCCTGTGTCCACGCCAAGACAACGGCCACGATGCACCTGTAGCATTCGCCAGCCGTGCACTCTCCGGCGTCGAGCAGCAATATTCTCAAACTGAACGGGAAGCATTGGGTGTCAAGTTTGGCTGCCTTCGCTTTCACCACAACTTGACAAGGTGATCCACAGTTCACCGTTGTCACCGACCACAAACCGCTCCTGCAACTCAAGGCCGTCGGATCGAGACCTCCACCATGAATTGAGCGCATGGTCCTCCGCCTGCAGGATCTCAGCTTCCAGCTTCAGTACAAGCCTGGCCCAGAAAACCCGGCCGACGTCGTCAGTCGCAATCCGCAGCCTCATCCCGACTTGCCAAACATCGGCGCACAGGAAGACACTGCGTACATACATGCCCTAGCTACAGCAGCTAAGCCAAATGCGTTGGCTCTGAAGGAGATTGCGGACGCCACCACCGCAGACACCACACTGCAAGCCATCCTTTCCTCTCTGCAATCTGGCCGCTGGGATTCCAGCCACACCACGGTCCGCCCGTACTTTGCCCTCCGCCATGAACTGTCTGAGAGTGACGGTCTACTACTCCGCAACGACCGTCTCGTCATTCCCACGGCCCTCCAACGGCTTACCCTGCAGCTTACACATGCGGGCCACCAAGATATTGTCCGCACCAAGCAACGGCTCAACAGCAATGTTGGGTGGCCCAACATGGCTACTGAAGCCGAAGCACTCTGCCGGCAATGTATTCCGTGCCAAGCAACTCTCTCAACGACACCGCTACGTCCGGGAGTCCGTGCCCACACCACCGTCCACCAAGCCGTGGCAACGAGTCTTCGTCGATTTGTATGGACCCATGCCAAACGGTCAGCACCTGCTTGCCACTATCGACCAGTTGACTCGCTACCCGGTCATCAACGTGTTCAGCACGACACCCACTACGGCCGGTGTTGTAGCTCTGCGCTCTACATTATCCATGTTCGGCTTGCCCGAAGAGCTAGTCTCGGACAACAGTCCTCAGTTCCGTTCTTCGGCTTTTGCTGATTTCCTCGCGCAACACGCTATCCAGCACCGCCACACCCCTCCTTTGTGGCCACAAGCAAACGGAGCAGTCGACTGCCTCAACCGTACCATTGGCAAAGTTCTGCGAACTGCCAAACTAGCTGGCGAAGACATCAATGTTGCATTTGACCAATGGCTCCTAGCGTACCGCACCACGCCACACCCTGCCACTCACGAGGCACCGGCAACACTCATGTTTGGTCGCCCCATCCGCGACAGCATACCCTGCATTACGGCAGCCGCACCAGACTTGCCTTCAGCTGCCCACCGTGACCAGCAATTCCGCCAATCCCAGTGCGACGCTGCCAATGCCACCCGCCGGTCAAACGCCCCCATCCTCACTCCTGGTCAGCGCGTCTTACGCCGCAATGAGCAGGCACACAAGCTCTCACCACAGTGGGATCCCAACTCCTGGACCGTGGACCAGATCTCTGGGTCTACGGTGACGATCTCCAACTCGGCAACTGGCCAAAGATCGACTCGCCATAATTATGTCGTTCGTCAAGCCCGTAATTGTTGTCACACAGACAGCCCATCACCCACTACCAGCTGAAAGTTCTGCCACCACACCTTACAAAATTACAACAAAATCACATGCAAGAAGTCCTTTCACTTTGACTACTGCTCGTTGCGTGACATCACTCCTCACCAAAGGACTTCCTGGGGATCACAATCCTAAACAGACAAATGTACGAATACCGCAACTGACTCTGTTGTTCTGCACGCCACGATCAACACGACTGCGTGCAAGACACAGCTGATCATCGTCGCTGTACTCTTCCCTGAGCACGTTACCCTGTCGCTGCAGCCTGCGACGGACATTCCATAGTTCCACCAACTTGATGGCTTGATGTTCCCATTGACGTCGACCATGCGGTGTTGCCATTGACGACCTTCAACTTCAGGTCCTTGCCGTGGTCCGCACCATTCAAGAGATGGGCCACATTTGGTGTACTTTCACCCAGTTGGTCACTTATTTTAACCTTGCCGACTTTCCACTGCCGGACTGTTGCTTCAACAACTGGCGGAGACTGCGGCACATACGCATATCATCACTCTTCCTTGCAAACATCATTTCCGTCTCCACCACGTCCTTATCAGCCTGATCCATGCCTGACACCCCCAAGGCACTGTCCACTGTGCCGCCGGGCTGGTGGAGCGACGGACCGATTCTCCAGTGACGGTCGTCGTCCACAAGGCTGTTGGAGTGCGCATCCAAGATGTGCTAGAGCTGTTCAGTGTCGTGCAATAGCTATCGCATGAGCTGATTGTTTAGTAACTGGTGGTGTTAGTGGACAGTATAGCGTAACTTGTAGTTCCTTGGTCTTTCTCTTTTGTATAAACAAACTAGTAAGCTAACGATAAACTAGTTACACTGAGACAATTCGACTGGCACAAATTACAACAAAATCACATGCAAAAAGTCCTTTCACTTTTACTACTGCTCGTTGTGTGCCAACCACCATCATCAGTGTGCGCATTGCGCCTGGTTTGGTGCATGCCTGGTGGAATCTGACATAGCGGCTGATGCAGTGAGCACGTCAGGTAACACCTAACGCATTGAAAATGACTCAACTATGACTTGGTTCGATTGCAAAAAACCTAATGATAGTGGTACCGAAACATTCGGGTAACCGGAGTAAGTGCCAATTGATATTTTTGGCTCCAGTCAGTCAAGTGATTCAATTGCAATAAAATTATATACGTATGGTGGAACTCACTTAGTACGTACCCGGGTAAGACATACACCTGCATAACACGGTCCTCTTTTGTCGCACGGATTTTCCTCCCATAAGCGCATATTCAGATGTGTACGGATACGACTGCTTCCTTCTGTTCATGTGGTTCATTGTCGCTGTGTTACTGTATGCAGATCTCACTCAGCTCTGCTCTCCGAGCATGCTGCTTCCAACACGACTTCCCGAAAGGTATGTATGGTGGCTAATAAATAATGCGAGAGTCTTTACGGATTCCAGTGCTCTCATGCCTTTTGCAAGTTCCTTTTGTAAGTCAAATGGAACATGGTTTGTGGTCAATACTTCAGCAGTAGTGGTGCGAGAATATTCGGGTGTCAAATTGCTCGGAATTGATGTATGATAACGGAGAATATACCAACATGTGAATCACTTGGAGATATGGTTTGCCAGGTTCTATTCACACTCACTAGGCTAGACCCTCTCGAGTATTGTACAACAGTTTTGGCCCAGGAGTGGTAAAGGGCACGGGGCAAGCTATGTCGGGACCTGCTGTAAAGTCTGCCATACACGAGCTGTACGTCTTATCGGATGGGATATACCCCTGATATTGCTGATAATGAATGGCCCAGTTTCATTGTACTGCTGTCCGCGATATTATATCCTTAGTGGCATTGTTAACTTCTCATTGCTTGTGGGGACGCATGGATCATACGTCCATCCAACACCTGCCAATCGGAACCCACCGCCAACGCTGTCGGTTGGGTTGGACCACAATCGGTTGGTTTTTGAGTCCAAGATGCCACCTAGGTAGCACACAGCATTGCTAATCTGATTTTAAATTAGCTGCGCAAATCCTGGCATACTGCCCGTAAATGCATCTAACTCCCAGGGTACTTATGAGTTTTTAGGTCTATGTGGTACTTGTGTCGCATTGGCAGCCACTGTTCCGTTCTGTATTTTCTGGTCTATGTGTCGTTGAATCTCCACAGAAAATGTGCTCGCGCATTAGAAGGAGGTGAAAGATGCACCTGCAGGAGAATACATGCTTAAGAGAAGGCAGAAACATGCCCGGATCCACCAGAACTAGTGCTGGCAAGTCAACAGAGGCGAGTACTGATAATGTTCCAGATTGTGGTAGGATCACATAAGCAAAATTGACACTGGGAGGCACGGCGGTGGGTCAGCTCATGGCCAGCGCCAGCTCCAGTGGATATCACGTGCATCCAGTTCTAGTACTATAGTATGACTGCTACAAAGTAGTGCGGCCCAGTTGGGGGTGGGGGGGGGGGGGGGGGGGGGGGGCATGTATCAATGAATGGTAATAACTCCGGAAATCATGCTGGTGTATCGACGGCGTGGGCCAATGAAGTGCTGGATTGATGGTGGACGACTGTACTGCAATCTTGGCTGGTCCCACTATCGCAGAGACAGCACTTCCTGGTGCAACCACCCTATCCTGCAATCTATATAATAATTATTATAAGAGATTTGTGTGAACGATTTTAGCATGATGCAAGTCAGCTTATTGTGCTGGGGGCCTGGCTACATGTCACTATAGCTTTTTATAGACTCGATCACCGCATTACGCTGCCTTGCGTTGACTTGATTGAGCACTCTTTTTGGTTAGTGTCAAAGGTATATGTAATATGTATCTGCCTTCGTGCAAAGCTCTCTTTGTGCGTGTCTTGCAGATAGCTCGCTGACTTTGATGCTTTGAGCCATTTTCAAATTGCTGTTTTTGTTCATTTCATATAGACCGTATTGCCATTTGTTTAACCTCCCGCTCTGAGCTCCACTGATGGGACCTAAAAAAAGGCTGAAACAGCTGTCTGGAGATTGAGCGTCAGTATTATGGATTTAGAATACACGATCTGGGGACAGCACTAGTACTGTCTAGCTGTTTCGTCCTTTGTGGACTCATTAGCGAATCACGGAGAAATAACTCTTAACTAAGGATGAACCTAGCAGCCATGAAAATAGATAAATAATGCCTCCAAGCCAGAATTCAAGGCTACATGTGTAGGCCCGAATGTGCCTTGCCCAAGTGCTGAAACTGATAAGTCATTGAGATACGCATAGAACATCTGGCAAAGGAACTACTAAAGCCCCCACAAGCACGGTATTCTACTTCAACAAGGAAGAATTTTGAAAGCATGCACAGCCCTACATGTATAATGTTGGTATAGGTAAGCCTTGTTTGATAAATTAACATGACAAGGCGGGGGACGCACTGTGTTAAAAAACAGTGCTCCTGATACACTAGTATGTCCTCGGCTTTGTCACATGCTGTCAACCGATCAACACATACAACGTTGCATGCAAAACGGCTGCAGCCTCGAAGTACGGAGTGCTATTTTAGAAAATGCTAGATGTACAGCCTGTACTTATACAGGTGTTCTATCAACTAGTGCCATTATGACAACGGTAGCTGAATGATACATGTACGTAAACCCGGGGTCATCATTTCAAGAACCTCTGGGTCTAAGCCCGAAGTAACATTCAACTACATGACTGTATACACCATCATGTATACACCATCTTCGTAGTAACTGAGTCTACCCCTCACCCACTACTGCCACTGTGACCACAATTGCGCAAAAACAGAGGACCTTAGAGGACCTACTTCTAACTACAGTGCTGGCCAAAGAAATCCAACCTTATGAATAAAATTGCACCGGGCACTATGCAGCCCTAGTAGTAAACATACTGGACCGGTCTGTGCTCTCGAACGCGGCGCTACTTTATTAACGAGGTTGGATTTCTCTGGCCAGCACTGTACAAAATACACACATGCACACACAACACTGCTAGGCTTTCCACCACCACACTAGGTTTTGAAACCGAAGAGTGGCAAAATTCAGGGCCAGACTAGAAAATCTGGGGAGACCTGATGGTTTTTTAAAGCAAAACACAGCCAACACTCTGCAGCTTCACAGCCTCCGGCAGGTTTTCCCGAGCGCACAAAATTAAAAGTTGTTGAGGCACCACGAATACAGTCGGGCGTCACAGAACGTGGGACCCAGGAATGTACGTGTATACCTCTAGGTACACCACAGCCAATAACGTTTTAAAAAGAAACGCAGTGTCAATAGACTCGAGTCTCTGCTTTTCTGGAATACAGATTCTGCTACACACGTATTGCTCACTATCCAGTGGGATGTGCATCTAAGAAAGTGGTACAAGAAGTCAAGGAACTAAGCCTAAGGCCAGATTGCTGAAAGGTTTTGTATAACTGACGAGCCTGACCCCTTGGAAACAACAGCTGTGGATGCGTGGCTCTACTGTAATAAATGTACAGGTACACAAACAATTTGAATGCAGAAATAACAACAACAAACAGGGAGAGGTGTAGGAAAATATACTCGGCCCCTAGTGAATTTGCTTGTGTATTAGCTTGAAAACTTTGGGTACACTTGTTGAGAGACCTAACTGCATGCAGCTAAAATATGGAGTGCCGTTGTCACCGACGACTTTTCCAGTAAAGTTGCGGCTAACATCTTCTCAGGTATTCCCGGGTCTTCGCTAAGGCCGTAAGGGTGGATGATATCATGTGCGTCTTCTATTGCTGATGTCGCTACACTCGATGGTGGTACTGATTGTGGTGGAAGATATTGAGATGCCGTATGTCTCGAACCTTTTCGCTAGGTCTCCGCGGCCATCGCGCAAGAGGGTCGGGAGCACCACAACTGCAACGCCACAGATCCAAGGACCGATTCTCGGACAAAACATTCTTCAGGTTGCCAAAGGTCCCCAGTGCTTGGCAATACTGGCCTGTACAGCATGAACACACCACACATACGCCCACACACCATGTACCATGTAAACGCCCGTTGCAGGAGAAGCACGCAAATCTGCAAATTAATTGGATGTGCACCCACAGATTTTCTCGTATAGGAACAATAGCTGATCTGAATCTGAATAAAACAGATCAAGACTAGTGCCAGATAACAGTCTAATCCGCACAAGGCAACTGGCGCAGCCATGTGAATCTCGAGCAAAATGGACAAACATGTCCCCAATTATCAGCAAACGGGTGTGCGTTACAGGATTGGCCTGGCAACTTCAAACAGGCACAATCCACTAACGTGGTGCCCCGTCAACTTCAACGGGAACACACCGATACAAACACAGCCCCACAACAGCAAAACGGGAACGCCGTTACAAATATGGTGCCCTGGCAACTTAACGGGAACGCACCAACACAAGCTGGCCTGGCACCTTCAAACAGGCACAACTGACAAAACACGGCATCCGGCAACAGCAAATGGGTAGGTACACCGTTACAAGAACAGTCCACCGCACCAAAATGCTGCTGCCACAACATTATAGCAGCAGCACGCCAGACATGCATACATGGCATTCCCAAAAGCCGATACCTGGAGTCAAATTCATCCATCACACTGTTTGTTAGGGCTGAATTTTCCAGTGACAATAGGAAATCCCGCCTAAGGCTCATGTGATGAGATCTGTACACCAACAGTTTCAGGGTATATTCTAGGACGAATTTCCAACCGGTTACGGTACAATGAAGAGTCGGGGGGTCCCCCTCCGGAAATAGTTTTCAAAATACAACCCAAATATGGCACTCGACAGCAATTTAACAGATTTCTTGGTGCTGGAGTGTCGCGCGGAGCTGTTGGACTGTAGCAACGCCGTTGCTACAGCTCAATGACGTGGTTCGACCGTACAAACCGTACAAACTCGTGACCCTAGTACCAGCCCACGCGGCTTCGCTGGAAGTATCCATCCAGAAAAAAGCGTATGACCATTCACAGCTCCATTCACCCACAGAAAAGTACGGGCGGTTGGAACTGATTTGTAACTTTTCAACCGGTCGCCAACTATTTCAACCGGTCGAAAACCGGTTGGGGCGGTTCTAGAAAATTCCCTGCAACTATAGTCACAGTATCAATGCACATTAGTAGAGCATAAGAACTCACTTGCGCTCATACCCTGTCACGTAGAGATGCTACTCTACGTGTACTGTTCCGATGTCCATTGGGGTGGTATGCCGGCCACTTGCCAGATGTAGAGCTTTTAAGCCGTACTTTGCCACCGTCTGCTTGCCGTATCACCACCTCACTTGCAACTCTGGATTCCAGGACTGTCGCTCCAACAATGGGCATGGAGCAGGAGCTAACCTGATAACAGTTGAGAGCGTGACAGAGTATCTTATTTAAATAAGGCCGAGTAAGGTGGATCCCTTTGGCAAAAGTGAACACAGGCTTGGTGCTACAGGCATGGGCTGTCATGTACCGGAATAGCCAATACCGGGCATGTTTGGTCGACAGTAGATGGAACTGCGACGGCTCCACCGTATATGGCCGCGTCTTAGTGACCTTCAGGCGCAACGTGACCAAGTCAGGTGCGAGACTCCCAGCCTCCCACACAAATACTCTTTGGCTGTCAAACGAGTGAATACTAGTAGATGATGCTAAATACTCGCTGGCAAACAATAAGCCATACAAGGCCAGTAGTATACTTACCCACAGCATAGCCTGATCTACAATATGACTGATTGGATCGTTGTAAGTATTGCCGAAAATGGATTAAGTCGTCCACTAAAAGCTCTTTGAAACTCGGATGTTGAGCCAATATGGCAATAATAAAATTAATGTAGAAAGGAAAAGGACGTATGGATATGAGTGTAGAGTAACTGTCACTATATACTAAATACAGTCAGAAAGTGCAACAACCAGGCACTAAAACATTTGACGACCCGACTCCTGGCTTCAACACATCTCCGTAGTGTTAAGGAGAGACCAAAGAGGGAAAGGTAATACTGGTTTCGTCATCGTCCAGTAACAATCAACATTTCTTGTTCTTGTGGGACTGTAGCTTCAACTACTAGCTTGTGCTCATTTTCGTTGCGCTTACCTTCCCCTCTTTGGTCTCTCCTTTTAACCTTGAACCTTCCAAGTTGGAAGGCTGTTGGTTAGCGCTACGGAGATGTGTTGAAGCTAGGAGTCAGGTCGTCGAATGTCTCAGCACTCTGTCAGTTTTGTGCCTAGTTGTTGCATTTTTTTTACTGTAGTAGCTAGTTACAGTGGTGGACAGTTACTCTTAACTCGTATCCATATGTCCTTTTCCTTTCTAATAAAAGCTCTATCCGCAAATATGCCGAGGTGGCTTGCCGTATCTCCCTCTATGCCATGC